AAACTGGTCACCACAACTAATAATCCCTTCGCAAATAGAATAGAAAAACAACAATATCGATGATCAAATAATATTTTTTTTTTTTTTTTTTTTTTTTTTTTTTTTTTTTTTTTTTTTTTTTTTTTTTTTTTTTTTTTTTTCTTCTGCTGGTGGAAGTAAAAGTCGCGGGAAAAGTGTCTCTCCCAAAAATAAACAATATCTTTATTTTTGTTGGTATAAACATCAATATTTTACAATAAATACTTGCTGAAAGGCACTACCCGCTGGCTTGTGTGTTTGCATCACTTTTAAATCCTACAATCAAGAAGATGGAGGCACTGCACGGAACACTCGCTGAGTTGAGGTCAGAATTCAGAGAAAGGATGTCAAAATTTGAAGCGGATCTCAACAAAACACCATCCGTTGCATCTGGTGGTGCTTCTTCAGGTCTGGTGCAGGACTATGCTGCCTTCAAGCGTTTCACTTTTGACGCACTTGAATGTATTCAGCGGCAAATGGAGTTTTTTGCCAGAGACCTTGATGCACTGGAGATGAGAGGCCGAAGAAAAATCCTACTGTTCCACGGGGTTCCTGAAACCACAAAGGAGATCACTGCAGTGGTGGTTGCCAATGTTATCAAGGACAAGTTGAGTATGGACACATTCACTACCTCTGATATACGCAGGTGTCACCGAGTGGGCAGCCTCACCAGTAAGACACGTCCAAGGCCCATACTGGTGAAAATGCAGGATATGGGTATCCGGGACAGGGTTTGGTACAGCAAGACCAAGCTGAAGGGCACTGGTATCACACTGTCTGAATTCCTGACAAAGGCACGGCACCAGGTCTTCATGGCGGCGCGGGATAAATTTGGCGTATCTAATTGCTGGACTAAGCAGGGCCACATTCATGTCCTGGGACCAGATGGCGCCAGGCACCGCCTACTCAGCCTTAGTGATCTGCGAGCTATCGGCGAGCCTGCGACAATCCCTGAGCGGTCTCCCACGGTGGTCCAGAGGAAGAAGCGCGGTGCAAATAAAAAGTGATTTTATGCACTTGCTTCGTTCGGGTAACAAATCCACTTTTTATTTTCTTTGTCTGAGCCAGAATCGGTACCTTCAATATGTATCTATTACTGCTTATTGTATTTTTTCGTTATACCCGTAACAACATTTATTTTATTTTATTTTATATTCTGATTGTTTTCTGTTTACTGTTACTGGCATTTGACAGTTAAGCCGTCAAATGTCAAGATTAGCAACGTTCAAGTTATCATACATCTGAGGCGTGAATTGTCTATGAAATCATAGACAATTTCAATGCTGATGATGTCAAATATTATTTTATTCGATTTTATTATATTTTCTCTATACCCTTTCTTGTTATTCTTCTTTTCTGCTCTTAATTTGAAAACACATCATTGTGTTTATTATTATTAATACACCTTAGGACTTTTGCCCGAGCGAAGCACCGTAAAGTAGAATCTCAAGCATATTGTAACACGCAGCTGGCGGGTGGACCTTGGAATAGGTTGCACACATATTAAATATTTATTTTAACTACATAAATATTACTTTTTTATCTATTTATATATATATAGTATAATTATCATAATATTTACTATTTATTTTTTTTTTTTTGTTACTAATTTGATGAATAGCGTAACACAAAGTGATGATGAAAGTTTTCTTTCTGCAAATAGTGACAATGACAGCTTTTCCAGCTTACCTTCTCTTGCTGATGCACTTGAGTCCCATTTCTTTGATGTACCGAAAAATCTTAATGTTGTCCATATAAATGCACAAAGTATTCCAGCTCATTACCATGATATGCTGGCAAATCTTGACTGTAAGAATATTCATGCAATCCTTGTATCTGAATCTTGGTTAAAACCTTGCCTTCCCTCCACGTCCTACTCTTTACCTGGATACCAGCTGATAAGAAATGATCGTACGGGCTGCGGTGGTGGCGGTGTTGCCATATATCTCCGATCAAACATTTCCTTTAGAATAATTGATATGTCACCACAGCCGCCACCGCAGAACGCTGGCGAGCATCTTTTCTTGGAATTAAGCCTACGTCATTCCAGAGTATTGCTAGGTGTCTATTACTGCCCTTCCCTACGCATCGACTATTTTTCCTCCTTTGAAAATTTGCTCTTAAATTTTACTCCATCTTATAGTCATAGCATAATCATGGGTGACTTCAACACTTGCCTCCTAAAACAAGATTCCCGCTCCTCTTCTCTTCAATCCATCGCTGAATCCTTCAACTTGTCTCTTCTTCCTTTAAGCGCCACTCACCATTTTCCTAACTGTTCTCCTTCTCTTCTTGACCTCATACTTGTCTCGTCGGAACAACACGTTGTTAAGCACGGACAATGTCCTGCTGATAATTTTTCCTATCATGATCTTATCTTCCTCTCCTACAAAATCTGTCCTCCTAAATTTAAACATAAAACAGTCCTTCAGCGCAATTTTGGTGGCATGAACCATGAGAAGCTTCGTGAGGATGCCGGCAACATTGATTGGTCACAGCTTTTTGCCGCCGAGGATATTGATGACAAAATCAATCTCTTCAATACCAAACTAATTGAGTTGTATGACGTCCATGCTCCGATACGTCCAGTCAAATTAAAACGTGTACCAGCGCCGTGGTTGACAGAAGAGATCAGGGTCACGATTCACAAGAAAGCACTAGCTAAGGCTAGGTTTAAACGCCTACCCAACCTTGTGAATCGTGAAAAGTATATTGCAGCTCGAAATCGTAGCAACAAGATGTGTAGGGATGCTCAACGCCGCCATATTCATAAGTCTGTAGAAAATGGTGATCCAGCCAAAGTTTGGACTTTTCTCAAATCTATGGGAGTTGGGAAAGTGCGCCAGCATGATATATCTAAAAATCTAAACCTTGAATCCCTTAACCAACACTTTTCTTCTTCGCCCTACATCAATGGCTTTATGAAGTCTACAACTTTAAACTATCTTTCTTCTCTTCCCTCTCCCGATTATTCTCCTTTTTTCTTTAATCAACTCACGGCATGTGATGTTAAGAAGAGTATAGTTTCCATCAGTTCCAATGCGGTTGGCAGTGACTGTGTCAGCCGTAAGATGATACTCCCTATCCTGGACGAAATCCTTCCTGTCATTTGTCACATCCTTAACTACTCCTTAACCAGCCATGCTTTCCCTTCAGCATGGAAGGAAGCCGAGATTATACCTCTCCCAAAAAAACCAAATCCTGAATCCCATTCCGACTATCGACCCATCTCAATTTTACCCTTCCTCTCTAAAGTCTTGGAACGCCTCATCTATAACCAGCTTAGTGCTTTCCTCACCAAACACAGCCTCCTCAACCCTTACCAATCAGGATTTCGTCCAGGACATAGCACTACTACAGCTCTAGTAAACATTACGGATGACATACGATCTGGTATTGAGAACGGCAATCTAACTCTAATGACCTTACTAGATTTTAGCAACGCCTTTAACACCGTCGATTTCGATATACTGCTTGGAATACTGGGCTCTCTTGGCATATCTCCAGCTGTGATTGATTTTTTTCGTAGTTACCTGTGTGGACGTCGGCAGCGGATCGCCATTGAGGGTTCCTATTCCTCCTGGTCAGATACGGCTGCTGGCGTACCACAGGGGGGTGTTCTTTCTCCTTTACTCTTCGCTATTTTTATAAATTCTATCTCAGAACAACTTCTGTCTTCCTACCACTTGTATGCTGATGATCTGCAAATTTATTCACAGGCACCTCCGGGTGAATTTTCCGAGGCGGTCAAGATGATGAATACCGACTTGACTCGAATCGTGAAATGGAGTACGGCCTATGGTCTCAAGGTGAATCCGGCGAAAACCCAAGTCATTGTTGTCGGTAGCCCTCGTTTACGCAGCAAAATCACATGGTCACACGTCTCACCGATTGTCTTCAATGGTACCACAATACCATACAGCGACACGGTTAAAAACTTAGGCATTCTTATAGACCGAGACTTTTCTTGGGGACCTCAACTGGGGCACGTCAGTCGGAAAATGTTTGCGTCTGCTAAGTCGTTGCGTAGACTTCGAAATTTTCTTCCAACAGCCACTAAAATTGCGCTTGCCCAATCACTTCTCCTTCCCATCCTTGATTATGCAGATGCCAGCTATCCAGATCTTACCGAAATGCAGTTAAATAAACTTGAGCGACTCCAAAATTTCTGCATCAGGTTCATATTTGGATTACGCAAATATGACCATATTTCTGAATATCGTGCAAAACTCAAGTGGCTGCCGATCCGCCTTCGCCGGAATACTCATATATTATCCCTTTTATACAATATACTGTTTAATCCTGCAACCCCTTTTTACCTTAAAGAACGTTTCAAGTTCCACCATGACACACATTCTCGACCAATAAGGTCGTCGGAGAGGTTGGGGCTTGAGATGCCCCAGCACGAGAGCAGGTGCTTTGACAAATCCTTTTCGGTTCAAGCTGTTCGTCTGTGGAATGCTCTACCAGTCTCCATTAGACAAGCACAGTCCCTTGTCACTTTCAAATCGCTCGTGAAAGAACATTATCTGGCCACGCTATAATTATAGTTAGGTATATCTTTGATGTATGTATGTATGTATGTATGTATGTATGTATGTATATATGTATGTATGTATATATGTATGTATGTATGTGTAAGTATGTGTGTATGTATGTATGTATGCATGAATATTGTATATAGCTTGTTAATGTTTTTAATTCTATTGTTACACCTAGACTGCCACCCACTACTACAATACTCCGTCCACCTAAAGGTTGCCTGGTAGAGATCGCTTTTAGCGATAAGGCCGCCTTTGTACCCAGTACTTTGGATTCACTCATTTTGTACTATGCATGTCAACTCTTTTGGTGTACAATAAAGTGTATTTATTATTATTATTTATTATTATTTTTTCACACGATAACTGTACTCTGCTATTGAAATAGTACTTATTGAATATGAGAACCTACTAAATGATTTCTAATTTTTCCATATAAAAATGTCAAAGGCAAATTACGGACAGTTTTTACGAAATACCAATTTGATTCTGCCTGAGCAGCCAAATCACGATGTAAGTACTTTTATAATTATTTAATTTTATTATTTAGCGTTCGTGTCTAAGAAGCAAGAAAGAGTCACGATTTCACTCAATTTGTGAACATATTATCGATGACTTTGGATTGGATGACTAGAATTTTTTTCTTTGCGATTAATATTTGAAAAATCTGATCGGAAAACTGTCATTAGTTTTCCCTATTTAGAGATTACATACAACTTTTGTATGTCTGTCTCTTTCTCTACCTAACGTGCTAATTCATTGAACATGACAATGAACTCAAAAAACCGAGAAATGCTCTTCTAGTTCCAAGGACCAATAAAACATTTTTTTTATGTTATAGGACGGCAAATGACCAGTCCTGATGGTAAGCAATCAGCGCCGCCTATGGACACTCGCTCAATCTGAGGAGTTGCGAGTGTGTTGCCTGCCTTTTGGGGACTATGGTTTTGGATGTTTAGGAATTGAATTGTTTGGGGGAGGGAAAGAGAGATTTTCCCAGATGAGAAAAATGCCTTACGCATACACATTCCGATAAGCGAAGTTATGTGGGGCTTGCATCCACTAAAAAAACTCGGCTTTCGTGCCGTCGTTTGCTTTTGAGAGAAACCACGAGGACCAGATCTCGGCAGTGGCTGATCGTCTCTATCTATTTGTAATCCATCACAGCAGCAGCTTGTGCAATGCAGGCAGCTGTTCCCCAGTCTGCTACTTATCGGCTGTTGCTAGGGCATCTGGGTGGCATAATGCTTCCGACGGGAATTTCGGGTTAATAATAACGTGTATTTTTTTTCAGGAGTTTCTAATAGCAATGGAAAATGTTTTTCGACTGTCATGCATTATTGGCGTGCTCGGATCAAAGAAATACATCTGCTATGTGTGGAGTGCCTTCATATTGACTGTGTTACTTGTGATGGAGAGCCAGGCCATCTGGAAGGTTATCAAAGCTCTTGCTGGAATTGCGATTGATACTGCTGGACAGAGTAAGTTGGTTGGGCCCCTTCGTTAGTTTTATTTTTTTAAAACGTATATGCCGCAAAATTTTCAAACAGCATTTCTGCGGCGTTGCGCGTCGTATGTGTGGTCGTAAACATGCAATTTCACTTACATTTTACACCCAGACCATTAAAATAATTTGTTTGTTGTCAGAGATAGAGATAGAGATAGAGATAGGGATAGAGATAGGGATAGAGATAGGGATAGAGATAGGGATAGAGATAGGGATAGAGATAGAGATAGAGATAGAGATAGAGACAGAGACAGAAATAGAGATAGAGACAGAGACAGAGACAGAGACAGAGACAGAGACAGAGACAGAGACAGAGACAGAGACAGAGACAGAGACAGAGACAGAGACAGAGACAGAGACAGAGACAGAGACAGAGACAGAGACAGAGACAGAGACAGAGACAGAGACAGAGACAGAGACAGAGACAGAGACAGAGACAGAGACAGAGACAGAGACAGAGACAGAGACAGAGACAGAGACAGAGACAGAGACAGAGACAGAGACAGAGACAGAGACAGAGACAGAGACAGAGACAGAGACAGAGACAGAGACAGAGACAGAGACAGAGACAGAGACCGAGACAGAGACAGAGACAGAGACAGAGACAGAGACAGAGACAGAGACAGAGACAGAGACAGAGACAGAGACAGAGACAGAGACAGAGACAGAGACAGAGACAGAGACAGAGACAGAGACAGAGACAGAGACAGAGACAGAGACAGAGACAGAGACAGAGACAGAGACAGAGACAGAGACAGAGACAGAGACAGAGACAGAGACAGAGACAGAGACAGAGACAGAGACAGAGACAGAGACAGAGACAGAGACAGAGACAGAGACAGAGACAGAGACAGAGACAGAGACAGAGACAGAGACAGAGACAGAGACAGAGACAGAGACAGAGACAGAGACAGAGACAGAGACAGAGACAGAGACAGAGACAGAGACAGAGACAGAGACAGAGACAGAGACAGAGACAGAGACAGAGACAGAGACAGAGACAGAGACAGAGACAGAGACAGAGACAGAGATAGAGATAATATATACCACTACGTCCTTCGGATGATCCGGTCCTCACAATGACGACACCCGGAGAAGAGGTTTAAATCGAACTTTCATCAATAAATACGTAAATAAAACGAGCATCAGGGTTTACACCTTCTGTCAAAATTTCGTAGAGCTATTTACAAAAATGAAGGAATAAATGCAAAAAAACTAAAATTTTGCGACTTTAAAAAACATAAAAATCCAGCATAAAATAGAGGTATGCATATTTACATTTATTCGCTTTATAATTTATCCTGCTAATAAAGTCATAATGATATTTAACGTAAATTTTAAAAGAAGATTTACAATAAACTCTATAACGCAAATATAAATAATGACTTGTTCCAGTATTTTACAATCTAGGACTATTGTGTAATTCTAATTACTTATTTATTCTACAAAACTTTTAGCTAATAGTTTATGTGTGATTGTAGTTACATACTTTCTACCCAGCAAAACTTCACAACGTGTTAAGTGTAGTTGCAGTAACTTCTTTATTACGCGAAACATTTTATAAATGATGTTGAGTGATTTTGAATACCTGCTTTTACAAGAAAAAAAAAATAAAAATGTGTTTGTGAAATTGAAATGAAATAAAAAAAAAATTGTCTGATTTAGTGTCGTATATAGTAAAAAGTACTTATTGGATGTATTGCACCGAACAACACAAGTCGCCTACACCGCATTGTGCCTACACCAGCTCGCGGGAGATTTCCATTATAAACGCAAGTACCTAAGTACCTCTCACCCGAACGGCTATAACTTAATAGTCGATGCTCCTATTAGCTCATCAGAAAATTGCCTCGTCCGGAGTATGGTGCCTTGTGTGGGCGCGCCGCGTATCCAAGCTGCTCGTGGACGCCGCGTATGGCACTGCAGGTCAGCGGATTGGGATGGCATGAGATCCTTCTTTGCATCCTACCCTTGGAGACGAGTTTGTTTCTCGCAGAATGATCCCAACGCTGCTGCTGACTCTCTTGCTGATGTGGTGTTGCAAGGGATGGAACTCTTCGTTCCGTCCTCTGTGGTCCCCGTCGGTGGCAGATCTCGGTCCCTGGTTCGGCTCTTCTTCTAGAAAAGCTTCGTGCATAAAGCAAAAGCCTTACCCAGCCTTGGCTGATGCGGTGGTGGCGCGGGATCTAAATAAAGTTTAAAAAAGAGTATAACTTTGCCTCCAGGTCCTTCAAAAGAGTCATAGCGGGTCCAAGTCAAACCATATCGGTAGGGTTGGAGAGAGGCTTGAGCGCCTTTTTTCAGGAACTCGTGCGTTCTGGTCTCTCGCCAAAGCTATCGAAGGCAATTGCTGCAGACCATCATTCTTATCTCTACACGTGGGGGGAGAATCATTGGCGCACGACGCAAAGGAAAAAGCTCAGCTTTTGGGTAAATTCTTTGCGTCAAATTCGACATTGGATGGCGGGGGCGTAAGCGGCCATGGCACGGGTGTAATACCGGATATTCGGTTTCACCAATGCTCGGTACGATTGGCGCTCATGTCTCTTGACATCCATAAGTCGAGTGGGTCTGACGAATTCCACCCATTATGTTAAAGTTGTGCGCTTTAGAGTTGGCACCAGTCTTAACACGTCTTTTTCAGCTCTCATACTCTTCAGGCATCTTCAGGCCGAAATTATGGAAGACAGCTTTGGTCCACCCGATCCCTAAAAAAGGTGATCGCACAAATCTGTCCAATTACAGACCGATAGCCACAACTTCCCTCTTCTAAAATTATTTAATCATCTATTAACTTTCAGCTTTAACTGCCAGCTCCTTCGGTACTTGGAGGATTATCAGCTTCTTAGTGACCGACAGTACGGTTTCCGTAAGGGCCAGTCCGCTGGTGATCTCCTAGTTTACCTGTTGGGCACAGGCGATTGAGTCCAAGGGGGGCGATTTTAGTCAGTTTGGACGTAGCGAAGTCCTTCGATCGGGTTTGGCATAAAGGGCTTTTTTCGAAGCTGCCTTCCTAATGAGCTTCCCGAGAACCTGTGTAAATGGGTATCCAGCTTCCTTGCAGACAGAAGCATAAAGGTCGCGGCGACGGTGAATACTCTGATTGCTTGTCTGTGAATGCTGGTGTCCCTCACTCTGTTCCTCCTACATATCAATCATATGTTGGATGACAGCAGGGGCACGCCTCTTACGCTGGCCGTGCTAACATTTCTTGGGAAAAAGTCATCGAGAGTCGAAACAGACTTGTCTGAAATCGAGACTTCTTTAGAGAGAATCTCAGATTGGGGTAGACTTTACTTGGTTAAATTTAACCGCACAAAGACACGGGTCTGCGTGTGCACAGCTAAAAACCTGCCGTTGGTCGTATCTCATAACCTCGGCCGGTATTGGGATACTTGGCGTCGACATATCAAGCGAAGTCCAGTTCCGTGGTCATCTAGAGGGTAAGGCCAAGTTAGCCTCGAAAAACTAGGTGTGGTCAATAGATCGACGCAGTATTTCACCCCGGGGCATCGCCTGTTACTTTACAAGGCGCAAGTTCAGACCCATATGGAATACTGCTACAGCTTCTCCCCAGTAACAGCTTCTGGACAGCATTCAACGGCTAGCTGTCCGAATTGTTGACTGCCCTGTTATCTCGGACCGGTTGGAATCTTTGGCACTGCGTAGGGATGTAGCCTCGTTATGTGTTCTCTATCGCATTTACCACGGGGAGTGTTCTGAGGACTTGTTCGATTTAATCCCCGTCGCTTCTTTTAGCCAACGTCCTACGTGAAAACATTTTCATCCCCATCACATAGATGGTTGGCAGTCAACAACTATGCAATTCACGCGAAACTTTCTGCCCCTCACAGCAAAACTTTGGAATATGATCTTCCGGCGGCGGTATTCCCGAACCGATTCGACGTCCAAACCTTCAAGACACGACCGTACTCCTTCTTAAAAAGCCGGAAACGCACCTGTGTCTCCTCTGGTGCTGCTCGTTTGCGGAGGCAAACGAGCAGATGAAACCCGCAGCACCCGCAAACGAGCAGATGGAATGTGTGGAATGTGGAATGAATGACTTCGGTAAGAAACTTAGTTGGAGTAAAGTTAAAGAGATTTCGGTATATCTTTAATGTCCGGAAAATTATACAAAGACTCGATAGTTCTATGTAGAGATAATAACATACCTCCACACTACCAGACTTATTAAAGGAGCGTTTTTTTGCGGGAGGGTAATCGTCAAATGACTTTTCCCACGCAGGGCCGGGTGGGAGGGAGTGTCAGACTCTTACTGAATAAAAACCCACCCGATTGTTCTCCTGCTCTGGGCCGAGGTCGCGGTGCCTCATTGTGCTTACCCCGCAACCTCGGCTGAACATCAGCCCTATAGAGCCCCGTATGTGGTGGTCTTTTGGCTCTTGGAGTATCGCGCAGAACGCTACGCGCCGTACGCTCGGGTCGGTCTGGTTCAGGTCGGGCCGCGAGCTACGCTTACTCTCCGTCCGTTGCGGTGGCCGGAGATCATCTTTCGATCCCCGATGCCCGGAATGTCGCCTACCGCGGCAGCTGGGGCGCGAGGAGGATAGTTCTCTCACGCGCTCCGCTTCCTCCTTTGCGAGCATCACTGCTTCGCAGAAAGAGGAGACGGCTTCCCAGTTCCTTTCGCTACGAACCATGGCCTCGACTAGAGCCGGGCGCGAGAGTTCGGAGAGCTTAAGGTATTCAATCTGCTGCCAGCGAGTTTGATTCCGAAATTGAGGATAATTAATAAAGGTCAACAAAAATATCACTATTTTAAACATTTCTTGATTAATTATGCATGTGATAAACATTTTTTAATAATAAAATTTTAGTAATAACCCATTATTGATCGTAGAATACCCCTCATTGTTTTCATTTTCTCTCAATTATTTTGTTTCAGTATTTACAGTTTTGCCAAACATACACTATTTACTATAAGAATTAGGTATTGCATGATACAAATTTAATATTCGGTTACTTTCCGCATTATAAAAGCAATTTTTATAAATACACCTACTAAACTTAATTAAATAGCTAGCTAAAAATACGTAACTGTATTTACAAAAAAGGATTTTTCGTTAAATAACAACGTGATTACACTTACAACTCTAGATTATAACGAAATATAAGAGAGTGCAACGCCGTAAGTAGAGTTAAATTAGTTAATATATTTAAAAATACAATAATAAAAAGCAATAATTGTAGTTACTCCTGCAAATATGCGATGTGTTCCGTGGAATAAAGAAGTAACCGTGTTTTTTTAGATTATCTCGAAGTACATCAATCTGTTCCCCAATTAAATAGCACGTGTAGTTGAAGGCAACTGTGACCTGCAATTTTCTCTTTGAAACATATTTCTAGACCTCATAATAAAAATATAGGACAGTTTTTTTAAGCTCCTGAAAAGTTGGTGAAAATGACTTACTTCCTTTTTACACGAATGGTGCGATATTTGTTTTTATTTATTTACTTATTGTTGTTCCAGGAAGTGTTACAGCGAGGCTAGCTGGAACCATTTTCTACACTATAGCCATTCTATCCCTGATCTTAGCCTCAAAACTGTTCAGGTCTTGGGGAGAACTATCAGCGCTATGGGTCAGAGTGGAACGAATCATGGCAGTAAAAGTCCCAAGCGATGGAACACTGAAGAGGAGAATGTATATTATTATTGGATTTATGACTGTTTGTTCTTTATGTAAGTTTACTGTGTAAAAAATGACCCTAAAATTTTCACAGGTAACTCCTGCAGTGTTGCAGGCGTCCTTGGGCACCTAACTTACCACCAGGTGATCCATAAACTCGTTTGCCACCCTGTCCTATAAAATAAACTCCTATTTTAAGACATCATAAGCCTATAAGTGACCACTGCTGATCAAAGGCCTCTTCTCACACAAGGTTTGAGCATTAATATCACGCTCTCTTAAGGCGGATTGGCGATTACAAACTTATAATTACAAATCATATGTCCAGGTTTCCTCACGATGTTTTCTTTCACCGTATGTCGGTGGTGACTAAATATTCTTACAAAGTACATAATAACTTAGAAAAAGTCACATTGGTACTTGTCAGGTTTCAAATCTGCACTCTTAATGCTGCATGAGAAGTGGGCGCCTCAACTTCCGGGGCACCACGATGATATTTTTTTTTATGTTATAATTTGGCAAACGAGCTGACGGATTGCCTGATGGTAAGCAATCAGCTCCACCCGGACAACAGAGGAGTTACGAATACGTTGACGACCTTTTCACAATTAGGGATTTTGGGATTGGGGAAGAATTAGGCGATGGGAAGGATTAGGCCTCCGGTAACCTCACTCAAACTCATCTGTTTTTACTATTATATTTGTACTTTGTCCATCCTACAGATTACCATTTTACTTCTTATTGTTTGTCTTATTTCAGTGGAACATTTGTTGAGTATCGTTTCTGCCATTGGACTGGATTGCCCGTCGCACTTGATTATGAAACGATATATTCTTATATCCCATGGTTTTATGATATTGAGGCGTAAGTACTTATTTTACTGAATAATATTACGGTTTCTTTACACTATAACTCCTCTATATTTTTAGTAATGTTCTAAAGCTTTTACATTTATAATAAACGTTGACCTACACTTTGGTTTTCTCCTGTTTTGTGAGGCTGGGCGAAAATCTGATAAAGATATTTCATAGAATAGACTAGTTTGACCTGATGGCCACTAAACATTTTTTATCTAAAGAATTTATAATACTGGAGCAGATTCCTCTATTACAGATGAATACTCAGACTGGTACGCCATGCCACTAGCCTTTATGAGTACAATAGCTACAATGCTGTGGAATTTCCAAGATCAGCTCATAGTTCTAATCAGTATGGGTCTGACTTCAAGATACAGCAGACTAAACCAGTGCTTGGCCAACATATGCGCACTGGAGAAGAAACAGATGGAGTCCGATCAAGTAAGAAAAATAATGTAACAAAAAATTACAATCCCTCATTTTCTTATTATATCAGTCGGACAACGATACTAATACCTAAGAGATTAATTAACTGATGGTAAGCTCTCAACGCCAACGCCATGTATGACCATTAGAAAAACTAAAGAAGTGCGTTGTTTGCTTTTTGTTTTTTTTTTTATTAAGTAAGTTCGACATTGTGGAAAAACCAAACATATATTTTTTTTGATAATTAAAAGCATTTAAGTGTCAATGTAAGAATACATTCACTGATTTTTGACTAAGTTGAAGAACTTTGTATACGCCCAACTAAGCTGAATCATCAAAAACATGGATTTGAATAATGCAACAACCTTAAATAAAAAAAGACTAAAGTCAATAAGTTTATAGTCTGCCAAATCTACCTAATAATCTGCTACAATTAGGAAGATACAATACAATAAAACACCTTATTAAAATCGTACCTTCGACTTAAGGCCAAGAACCCGCCCACGACTCCAACTTAATTTGGCCGTCTTGTCTTTTGGCCATTGTCAACGTATTAATAGCTATGTTACCAGTGTTTCCATTTCTGATTTCGATATAATCAACTATTGTTAATTAAAATCAAACGATGTAGCCATAGACCCTTTAGGACGGTGGTTTGCGATGCTCAAAATTAATTTTAGAAGCTATTAAAAGATGTCAGTTGGTTCAGAACCTTTGTCCTGTAAAGGACATATATTTGATCAATCTATTTGGAAGATATCATACTAGATATTGTCGGTATTAGCCTATAAGTGCTTGCTGAATGAGAAACCTATAATTATTAGAATTTATAAATCTAGGTTTCCTATTGCCCCAATCAGAGCAAAAGAAATCATTAGATGATTCCTGAAAAAAAGATTTCTTCAAATAGTTTTCTAATATCGCATGTCAGTGATATCTGAAGAATCTTAGAATGTAAATAGCTACATGACATACCCGAAAGTCGGAAAAAACAATTTACTCCCAGATTATCCATTTTTCAATTTCGAATGAAAATATTCGGACTAATAAATAGTTAGCAATTCTCATTTGACAGATAGGTATCTAATAAGTTCCTTTACAAGTAGGTACTCAAGGATTACATTCAATCCGTGAACCAAAAGTTTAAAACATTAATAAGTATCAGATTACTAAAAGGCACGTGCAATTACAACAAAAACTTCAAAACCAGATTTTTGTCATTAGACTTTAAACGACAGTGGCGCCATCTGGCAAGTGCAAATTGCAGACATTTAAAGCGTACTGCAATTCACACGTAACCAGAAAAGCGTGAAAGAAATTACACGAATTTATAGACATTTAGAACTCCCGATTACACGTGCCGAAGTATTTAGGGGTAGGTATCAATTTGTTAGACTAAATTAAGCGGTTTGAATGAATATCGTGGATTTAAGTAATAAATGCGGCTACTTATCACCCGTCGCCCTTAATGGAGCGTTTCGTGACAAATATTTTCTCGAAGCTCGCCAGCTGCATTTTGCAAACTAAGTAAGACGTACTTGCTTGAACATTTAGGTAGAATGTTAGATAATCTTTTTGAATTTGGAATACCTAAGACAATTTACGTTCTAATTGTAGTTAACAAATGCTCAATTAAGACATTTTAAAACTGTTCAAGTTTTGATATGAACGGCAAATAAATTGAAGGTTTTGGATATAGACCGTCTCAGAAGATAACGTGTAAGAATACCTCATTATTTGGGACTCTCCCAAATACGGTGCTTAATTGAAAATGAAAAATAGAAAAGGTATATGTAACGAAAAATTATTCCTAACAAACTTCTATAGCTTCCCGGATAATATTATAATTGTGCAAAAAGATTTTTGTGTCATCTCTCAATTGATAACTTTAATCAATACTATCACACAATACAGTAAAATCTGCTCCAAGAATACACATGAACAATATCATAATCGGAACTTATCGCGCTCCTGGGAAATTATAGCAACCGGGTCTAGATTGAACGAGTTCCAGCTCTCAAACGTGAACCTATTGGAGTTCAAGAAAGACAATAAAAATAGAGAAACTGTAGATGGTCATGCTTTGTTTTTTTACTACAATATAATAGTCTAAAAACAAAGCACGATCTCTTATTGATAGCAAGAAGGCAGCATTTTACTGCTTGCAACACCAGAGGTATTTTTTGTGAGGTGAAAATCAATCCAATGACTTCTCTCGCCTGAGGAGAGGGAGTTTTAGACTCTTACTGAGCTATACTAACATATTATGCCCGCATGCTATCATTTAAGCTTTATGCTACACTATGTTTTTTATTGTTGATCATTGGCCCTCTTTTTCCTGCTTCACAACCTAGGCAGGGGAATTTAGGCCACGGTATCTTGACAATAGGAGATTTACATACTAATAAAATCCTGATTTTTTCATCGTTTTATCAGGTGGGCGATTAAGCAACGTGCATAAGCAACACTTAAGAAACATTTTTATGAATTTAGAGTGAAATCGTACAGCTTCACATTTGTGCTCTAACTACAAAATTTCAGATCAATCGATTCAAGAGCGTAGCTTCAAAAGATGTTAAATCTGAATTTCGTTATCCATATTAATGCTCGGTGTACGCCATTAAAGCTTTCTTCGACTGGACTGTTAGCACTTGGCACAGTCTTAAGCGGGTACCATATTTGAATAAGTGTCATTTTGACATTAATTTATCTAACATTCTAACACCCAGTTTCTGAAAGGCTTGTCAATTCATTGATCAACTAACACTGCGATTAAATTGACATGACTGTCAAATCAATTTGAGTTTCTGAAACGTTGATCAGAGCATAATTAACTAATCTATGATTATTTTGATTTGACATGCGATTTATTTTTATTCACAGCCTCACTGCTCTTTCTTGTTCAATAGTTCATTCTTATCTGTCAAATATGTTAATATTTAAAAAGTTACGGACTGTCATTGATGTCAAACAATTCTGCGAAATTCAAATATTAAAGTTACAATTTCAATAAAATGCTAATTAAACTTGCTTAAAATGGCATAACGAGGGAAGAATTTCATCGAAAGGGAAAAACATGTTCTTTTAGAACCAGTTCAGAAGTAAGTATAAGTATAAACATATATTTTTACCTATTGCGTTTTATAAGCCTATTGTTGTTTAAAAGTATAAAATATCTTTGTTTATAATTCATATCCTGCGCTGCAGCCAAGACTGATGTATAATACGCACCATGTTTTATTACAGATACAAGCTCATAATTGATAATCAGTGCACAAATGCTATTTCTACTATTAATAAAAATGAAGCTCGGGAAACCATAACGAATGAATTCAACAGTAATGCAGAAGTGCCTCGAAACCAAAAACAGCTAATCACAGCCTATTGGGATTAAAAAGAACTACGAGACAGAATGTAGCCAATAAAAATATAAGTTTTTCATCTAAATAAGCTATTATAGTGCCCATATACTTTTATAGTGTCCATGCTAGCTAGTCAGAATATTGTAACTGTTACCAGATTAGGATATATATTAAATACCTGTCCCGATTTCTTAACTAAGTACCTAATAATGTATTATTTTTTTACAGGAAATTTATTTACAGGTAATTCAATTTGCACATCAAGGAAACAATTTCAACATGAGAGGCAGGCACTCAGGAACAAAATAATAAGAAGCATAATGAAATAAAGTTGGAGTATGTAAATAAAAAAAAAGTTTTTAGAATATCGGTTAAGTATAAAACAGCATGTTTTGAAATACAATAAATTATTTGGTTAAGAAATATACATTATTAGTATTTAATTTAAATATAACTAAGTTACTATACTAACTAAATATGTATAAGTAAGATAATATGCTTGTTTTTATATTTCAAGTGTTATATTATATTTTATAAAGGTTAATTAAACATGTTAATAATATGGTTATTTCTTTGTATTCACCTAAAAATACATACCATTAATATTATTTAACAATTAAAATGAGTAAACAATAAAGATGTGCGCACAGAAGTGTTTCCATTTATCTCTGAAAGAGCACCAATATCTTCTTGAACTATCCTCTGATATACTTGAGAAATATCCTATCCTGTTCCTGTACAACTCAGCACGTGGCCCACCAGTAGACTATCTTTACATGTGTGCAGTCAAATGCCCCGATCACATTTGGAAAAGAGCTAATATAACGTTGTAGAATTCTGTTTTTATCCTTGTGCAATCCTGATGTTAACAGGGCATAGTAATCGCTGCAGATTCTTTTGTTATTATTTTACATGCCGTAGATTTGCATCAGCAACCATAATTTGAAATGCTCATGTAGCATGGTAATAGCTTATTGTCAGTAGCACCTATTCCAAAGCTTTGATAAAAAGGTTCCTCAAAGTGAACTGTTTAATATTCGGCTCTAACACGTTAACTAGTAACAGCACAAACGCCTTTGTCCGTTGGTTGGTACCGATTCTTAAATTCCTCTTCATTGTAGAAATCAAACGGATTCTTTCTGGTCTAAAATCTTCATCGCTGCTGGATGTGCTGATATTCATCATGCTACTATACGAAAGAGACATTATCGTAATCTAAAACCAGAATCAAAGTTAATCAAGATATCAAATAATTTACTCTTGCAAAGAAAATCATATTATTATAAATAAAATTTCATAATTAATATTTCTATTTATCATACCTTAAAAAAGTATTCCTATTTGAAGAGAAAACGTGAAAAATCAGTTGTATTCGTAAGTTAATTCGCCAACAAGCACCGATTAGTTGACCGAGCTTTTGACAGACGAATAATCTATGATCACGGCTTGACCAGCGTTTCAGAAACCCAAAATTGCGATAATCATTCGATTCTTGAGTTAATTTGACAGCCATGTCAACTGACATGATGATCAAATTAGTTGATTAATCATGCTTTATGCAACCCAATTGACACTTGACAAGAGATTTAACAGGAGATTAGTTAATTTTAGCGTTGACAAGCCTTTCAGAAACCGGGCGTTAGTATAATAGAAATCAGTTTATTTATAACTAGCAACCCAAGCCGGCTTTGCACGGGTGCAAAGCTGATACTAAATTTCTCTTATTCTTCAATAAGTCTATCTTTCAGAAAAACTTTAAAGACGTTTTTTGACGTATATTAGTTAGTGATACTTGAGAAGTAATGTAAGTTTTTATAATATATATTTAAGATTTGAGTTTCTTTATATTAGGCCAGCTATGGATGTGTGCCTGTATTAAGAAATTCCCCGTGAAAATTACACTCTTTCGTAACATTAGACACCAAATTTTGAATGTTTAAACTAAACAAAATTTGTTACGGTTGTTGTTGTAAAGAAAAAAAGCAATACTGATAAAAAGTAATAGATATTATTAGTCACCAGTTATTTAACAAAAATACTCACACAAAAGTACGTGCTTTATTATTTAAAATAGATATTATGTCTAAAATCCTCACTATATCCTTCTACTAATTCATACTTATTTATTGATATTTTTACTCTTTTCTTGTGTAACGAATAATATTAAACAAATTAATTACAGAAAACCGAAGCAACAAAAGTGTACACTTGGCGCAAACTGCGAGAAGCGTATGTAAAGCAAGCTATGTTGGTGCGCAAGGTGGATGACGCTATTGGTAGTATCATTATACTGTCTTGCTTCTGCAACTTTTATTTTATATGTCTGCAGCTCTTTCTGGGGATCACGTAAGTTTCTAATTAATGATTGAGTCTTTGAATTCACGTTTTTAACCCTAGTACTTATTATTTTAGTTTCTGAATATTTCAGTATCTGTCTTTGGTATGTCTGACTGTGTATGAATGGATGAACTGATTTGAGTGTAAATATTAAGAGATCATCGATTTTGAAAGACAAATTAACTTAAAAAAAATGTGTTATTTTGGACCTCATAATTTAGCCCAAGCCGCACATAAGTATACCCACACATTAAACAATGGTATTAGCTTTGTTATTGTTTTTTTCTCAATGTGTAAAAAGACGGACAGTAGTAAATTGTAATCCAGATCACAATACCAGTTCTAATATCTATAAATATTCTACAAAATTATGACCTAACTCTACTGGAAACACTAATACAAATTACGTTACCAGACGAAAACCGAACTTACACGGTAGAACATAAAGACTATTCAAGTAAGAATTACGAACACTTTCAACCGTACTTAATCTATCATTAGACTCGAAGAGAACAAGAAAAACATCGAAAGTGTTCACACGGTTGTAGTAAAAAGCGTAAGGCTTAGAACACATGTAAGCGCTAACATTAATCACCTTTGATTTACAGTGTGAATGTTAGTAATTCACGAACAAGTTTCTTTAAGTAACAAGTTCAATAAAATACTTTTCTGTTGAACAAAAGCTTAGTTATACTGTGAACTCAAGTGTTTTCTGTTTCTTCTATGATTTTGTTTCCTCAAAGAATTATTTTCAGTCGAGTTCTTCCGTGCTTTTACTTCAGTTTTTTTTGGGCTAATGAGCAGACGGTTTACCTGATGGAAAGCAATTAGCGCTGTTTATGGACATCCACAACACCGAGAGCAATTTCAGCCTTCGAAGATTAGGGTTTGGGAGGAATTGGGGGTATCCTTACTCACACAGTAAAAAGCAACGCAGTGGTTGTTTTACCCCAGTTCTCTGAGGCCGTGGTATCACTCCAGTCAAGTAGACCCGTTCATGGTGAAGCATGAATCTCCCAAATTTAAACAGATACAGTATTATTCCACACAGTTTACAACTCCTGGTGTGTCTTTCTTGTTTTAGTAAACTAGGTCTTAATTTTAACCTTTGCGTGGTCTTCAATGTAGTACTTGAACCCTTTAAACAGTATTTTTAACCCCTCCTCTTGTTCACAGCCAAACTCAGTCAGACGAGCCACTCAGAACAGTCTACTACTTCACTTCTCTAGGCTGGTTGTGCTTCAGAGTGATCATCGTCGTTCTAGCTGCCTCCAACATTAACGTTCACTCCCAAATAGCTCTCAACCACATCTACACACATGATACTCTTTATTACAACGTTGAGGTAAAGTTAAAAAGTTGATATGATAACATTTAAGCACTTAACAAGAGATTTCCCGTTGAAGAATCTGTCGGCCGACATAAGGTGTGATTAAAATTATATTATTAACAAATGATTTTGAATAGGTACTGTAATGAGATATCCTAAATTTATAGAGAATAACAATTTTCTCACTATTAGACTGAAAATTATATTATATCATTAGCCTATAAATGCCCATTGCTGAGCTTATTCTCACAGGGAGAAGCTTTTTGAGCATTAATCCCCACGCTTGCTCAAGACAGATTGGTGATTTAAAACTTATAATTAGAAGTTATTAGTCTAGCTTTCGTCAAAATGTTTTCCTTCACCAAATTATAAGTACCTATGTTATTTGGAAAAAGTAACATTGGTACTTGTTAGGTTTTGAACTCGCAGCTTCAGCTTATTGTATGACAAAAGGATACCTTAGGTAACCACCACGACGTCAGACTGAAAATTGTCATTCATCTATTAAGGCAAAAATAAAACTATAATACTTCCTTATATTAACAATAGTTGAATTCCAAAACACTGTCATACAATTCAAACAATACTAAATACTACTAAACATTTCTCAGTTGAAAAATCCAATAATACGCGTACTGAGTAGTCTTGCTCGCGACCACTTACAAAGACACGATTCATCTTGCAGATGGGGCGGCTTCAAGATCAACTCTCTAAGGATTACGTTGCTTTAAGCGGCAAAGGCTTCTTCTACTTGAGCAAAAGTATTTTATTGCAGGTCAAGTATCGTTTTATTATTTACCAAGGCACTTTGAAAGTATGAGACGTTGTTTTCATGTCTCTTGGCGCTTTTGTCGGTTTTAGGCAAAGTTTCTGAGGATAAACATCGTAGTTATAATGTGTATCCGAATATTATATTATTTAAAATATTATCAAATTCAGAGAATTTTCAAAAAAAAACAAGGATAACTTTACGTCACCATTGTTATATTACCGTAGCTGTTTTTATTATTTTACTAGCGGCCCGCCCCCGCTTCGCACGGGTCCAACTATCTCGCTATCAAAGGGTCACTTTTCCTAATCTTCCACTCTACTTTTCTAATATTTTCTTGGATAACAACCTTCTCCTATCAATAACAAACACAACAAAAATGGAATTAGCAAAATTGGTCGAGGCGTTGTTGAGTTATGCGTTTACCAACACATTTTGCGATCTATTTTTATATATAAAAAATATTCTAGTTTATCATAGAAGTACTTTTTAATGTTAAGTTAGGGATTTGAAAACATGAGCATTAATGGACATAAGACCTCATAAAACCGCACCAAAAAACATTAAAGCCTTCATTGAGTCATTAAGAAGCCATTTCTAGAATTCCTTCTCTAAACGAATTCAAAAGTAATTAAGTCCTTCTAGGATATATTATTACCATTTTTGTTATTATGATAGAAATAGAATAGAAACAAGCACATATTGAATAAAATATTATATGTTCTGCTGCCACACATCGAGTAGATACCAAAAAAGCTAAACAAAACTTACCAATTTAACTTGTATTTTATTTTTTATGTGAAACGGTGACAAACGAGCAGACGTGATGGTAAGCTATCGACACCACTTTTGGGCAATCACGACACCAGGAAAAGTGCGTTGCCGGTCTCTTTAGGAATAAATATTTTGGAGAAGAACGGGGTCTCCAACTCTCCAGTAACCTTAAACGGAGGAACGCTGTTATTTGAAAACTGTTTTTTGCGAGACCGTAGTGTCATTCCCATTCGTGCCGAAGCATGGCACTTTCTCACTTGAACTTGTTGGCAGTCTCATCATCTTATCTACATATTATGTTAATGTATTTTTTCGCAGATGGCTGGTGCGATAATAACGTATGAACTGGTCCTGATACAGTTTGACGACAAAGGCACAGACGACCATCAATTAAACTTAACTAAAAATGGTATTTTAGAAGATTAATAATATGCACATACGAAAATGAATGTTGTTTTACTTCTGTTCCTACATATTATCGTTCAGTATTGATCTTACATTCATAATGTCTTTGTTAGTAAGTTTTATTTTAATGAGTAAGAACAATTAATGACTTTGGGTCATTATTGGGTAAGCTATCGGCACTCCTATGGCAACACAAAAATCGTAAGGCTCTGTCTCGAGACTTAAACTAAGCAAGTGATAAAATACGAGGTAAAGGCTTGAAGCTAAAAAGACAGAAAAAGAATTGAAAGAAAAAAATGAGATAGAGAAGCATATTGTCATTTTAGATTATGCACTGTAAAACCAAAAGTAATTACTGATATGGTTGATGATAAAGGCTTAAGACCTCGTGGGTTTGAAAATAGCCTACATTACACAAAATAGGCTACAGATTGTAGCCATGTAGCTACTAAATATTTGTGTTGAAAAACACTTAAACTGACTTTCATCTTCAGTCTATGGCTAGTATATTATAAACTAGAAAGAGTTTAGTATGTTAGCTAATACGTAAAAACAAAAAGGAACTGAATGAAATTTGGCATAAAGATAAGATAATTATGACAGGAATAGGAGCCGATGCGTCTTTCTCCTCGGAAACCTCCAGTATTGCATATAGTAGGTACGTAATACCACCAATATTTTTATGACTTTCATTATTGGAAGTGCGTGTTTAACCTATTGAAAATAGATTATATTTTTCCATGACCTACGACACTAGTAAATGAAATTTTCTCTTTAAATTATGCATAATGTCATTAAAACAAAAATAGCCTGTACGATTTTGTGTGATTGATAAAAAACGATCTGATCGCGTGTTTGGTTTAGCAAATAGTTGTCGTCCAGTTTAAAATGACCTTGTGAAAAATATAAATTGCGAATAGTATGGGTAAATTTAATAATTATTCACTAGTCAAAAGAGGTGACCTCGCTCGTAAAAATTAGTGAAAATAAATTTAATATGTGTGTCATGTGTGTGTACATTTGCTTATTTATCAGCCAATGTTTATGTATTCAATAAGGAGTTTTTATTTTTTATTTTTAACATAGGTTTTTCTCCTGTCTTGGATGCGTTGAAAAATTTTGACAAAAAAAACTAACCCCAGTGGAAAAAAGTATTAAATTATGAACTTTATTACACACTTATTTTTCTAGACCAATATTTTTTTACCGGAGCTCACCATAAACTGGTCAGTGTCAGAGACACTACACAAACAATTTGGTTATTTTCCAACAAAGGCAAAATAGAAAATCAATTATGATTCTCTATCTAACAACATACTGAAATGGGTTTGAAATCAAAAATGGCTGCTAATGAATTAACAAGAAATAAATCAATCGATATTGTTAACAAAGTTAACCAGTGTACTTTTAAAGATGTCCGGACTATATTATAAACAGTATTTGGGTAATAGTAAGCTGCTTCTACCAGAACAACCAGTTCATGATGTAAGTTTTTGTTCTATTTCATCTTTTCTTATCTAGGGAAGGTCAGTTTCCTTCCTTATCAAGTAATTGGCTCAAGTAGTTGGGATTGCTCGATGATCACACAGTGATTGAACCCTCATGAAGACATAGCCAGAGACGATACAAGCCTTTTACAAAAATGGGCATAGTTATTAAAGAAGTTATTGTTGAAGTAGTCAATATAAACAAAGCAGTATTGAGGAAAGTGTACCGTGATAAAATACGTAAATAGGGTTGGTCGATGCACAAATCCAGCTCTAAAAAGTTTTACAACGAACTTAGAATTGCACTGAATTTGCGGGTGTCCAAAAAGACAGAAGATCTGCGATCGATGAATGCAAACTTTTAGAAGAATCGTCACTATCGCATCAACTATTAGATTTATTTTAACTTGTCATGTCATCGAGTCTGTATTCGCCAAAGGATAAGCCATGACTTGGATGCCTTCACAGCCCAAGTAAATATGTTCTTCTTGGATGACATGGTCCATTATAAATCGTATCATCGCTTATCACCAGGCGAGATAATAGGTTAACGCCAACCCATTACTAGTATAAATTGAAATCGCTTCATCCGTTCAAGCTCCAGGATGTCACAAACAGAAAGACAGACAGACAGACACGTCAAAGTTATAACACCCCTCTTTTCCCGTCGGGGGTTAAAAAAAACTTGTTTTCTCCTTCAGGACTTCTTGGACACCATGGAAAAGGTTTTCTACTGGTCCTGTTGGTTTGGCATATTTGGCTCGAAGAAATATATCAGTATAGTATGGAGTGCTCTCATCTTGGTGTCCTTGGTGGTTATAGAGTACTTGGCGATTTGGAAGGTGGTTAGAGCAGTAACTGGAGTGGCCAGAGACACAAGTGGACATCGTAAGTTTTACATTTTGATCTTCATTACATTCTTGGTAATACTTACATATTTTTTTGTAATAATGGCGTATTGGTTCCGCCTCGTTTGTGTAGTATCCATATTTCATGAGTGACTGTCTAGTAATCGTTTGTAAAGGTTTGAAAAGGTTGGAGTCATATAGTTATTGTCCTTGTACAATAAGAATGTTTAGTTTTAAATATTCACGTCTACCAAAATGTCTACTTAAAAGATATCTAAAATCCTCCTACACTATAAATAGCCTCATATAAAAATGTCAAAGCAAAAAGTTAAACTTATGTCTTTTATTTCAATTACATCAATTTAAGATGACTTGTTAACGCCAAACAAATAATAATAATAAAAAATTAGATGTAAGTCATTCTTTCAGTGAAGCTATTTACTCAAACCAAAAGTTTTTTTTATATGGAGAATAATGCCCGATAAACTCTATAATCAAACTTTTTTACTCAGTTCCAAAATTAAATTTATCAAAGCCACCATCATCACAGTCAAACAAAACAAATGCATTCTCTTATTTCAACTAAAATCTAAAGTAATAAATATTTTCGACGAATGTACCTCGTTTTTGGATTAATGACGTTCTGTTCAATATGTAAGTTGATTGTGTTTTTTTAAAAAGACACTTTTAAAGTCTACTAAAAAACAAGCATAAGAAATAGTTCACTGATGTCCGGTGTGAAACAATCACAGTGTTGTGCTTCACCGTGTGAGTAAGGTTACCGACGCCCAATTCTTGCCTTTTCCCCTGCATTATCTCTAAATCTTCGAAACTCTAATCCCTAAAACGCCAGAAAAGCACTCGAAACTTCTCTGGTGTCGCGGTTATCCATGAGTGGCGCCATCGGCATATCATTAGCTAATCTGCCTGATCGTTTGCCAACCTATCAGATGAAAAATTAAGTAAAAATATTAGTTCAGGTTTGGCAGACAGTGAGATGTGTAATTATAATATAATACTTTGTAGACGTCATTTCCTTAGTTTTTTTATCTCTTAATTTCTCGTAATCAAGAAATTTTTTGTTTACAGTTGAACATGCAGTTAGTATGGTAGCCTCAGTGGGACTCGACTGTCCACCGTCCTTAATAATGAAGCGATACATACTTGTCTCTCACGGATTTCTTTTTATGGGACGTAAGTACCTGTTTAACAAACAAATTAATGTAAGGTTTAACTATTATTACCTTCAGTGGTAAGGCGGAGATATTTTGAATATAATAACCAAAATAACTGACCACGTTACAAATTCTACATTGCATTTTACAAGCCTAGATAATTGTGTTGCGAATGAAGACAGTTTGTGATCCCACAAAGAGTTTTCCGTGCGGGAATCGAACCCGCGACATGTAGCACGGCAGTTAGTTGACCAGCCATCGAGTCAAAGTGGATGTACATCATACGTCTGTACGCAACGCTATTTTTGGGGTGCGTGCCAGAAGACCTCCCCGTGGTGCACCCTTGGTGCGGGCGACAGTCTCCCTAACGGGATGGTGACAGGGTTGGTTTGACTGTCGCCCGCAGCGAACTTCTGGCCGGGCGGAGAACCCGGTCGGGTTCTAGAGGCGACCGGCTCTATGCTGGCATAGAGTCTACGCCTCCGTGGGGGCGTTCCTCCGCACGACTCTCTGGACCTAGCAGAGAGCGGGGTGGAGAAACAAGGGCGGCGCTCGTTGTGCACTCACCCTGCCAATGAGTAGCATCGGGGCACTAGCTGCGCCCGACTGCACCCGTCGATATCGTAATCCGGGAAGAGATCATGGTCATGTTTTATGACTCGGACCGGGACGAGGGTCTTGGCTTAACCGCCCCGACCGCGAGGAAGAGAACCTCTATAAAAAATTCCTCCAATACTAAGTTCTGGTGCGCGGCGAGAGCGCACCCCCAGCTAGGGGACCGGTGGACCTCCTAGTTGGGAGACAAATTTACACTTACCCAGGGACAGGGGGCTCTCCCTGGGCGGACCCTTTATTTCCCCCATACTCGTGGGAATAAAATGGAAGAAATAGACCCAAATTTTAAAAAAAACACACCACCACCAAAAGTGCAGGAGAGGGCAAGCCAGCTTGCAAGTGAAAGCGAGAGCCAAGGTGGCACTCGGACCTGTGGGGAGACGCTGGTTCCGTCCAGCGAGTCCCGGGCAAAGGCACAGGGAGGAAAGGGGTCGGATTCGGAGTCCGACTCATCGTTGTCTGGCGTCAGCATTGCGCTGCGCCACAAAAGGGACCGGGGCGTTTTTAAGCGTCCCAGGTTGGAGGATGGTCGAGAGCCGTCCTCCATCGAGCAGGAGGCCCCAGCCCCCAAAATCCCCACGGCTGCGCGGGGTAGGGGCAAGGGGAAGGGCTCCGCAAGAGCGGCTGGGAGCCGCTCTGAGCCGGCAGAGCGGCTGGCAGCGGAGGGGAGCGCCCTGGGAAAGGCTGCCCCCTCGGACTCCTCGGAGATGGAGGTGTCCGGCGGTGAGGGGCCTGTAGGCGGTGCTGAGAGCCTCCGCCTCCAGGTTAAGGAAGCACTCCGCATGCTGGCTGGGCAAAAAACCCAGGCTGGCAGGAACGGAGTGCTTAAGCACGCGGAGGCCGCTATAATGTCGGCGGTATCCCAGCAGGGCTCAGCAGAGCGGCAGATGACCGCTCTGCAAAAAGAGATGGCCGGAATGAGGCGCGAGCTGGCCCGATTAGCGGCTGCGAACTCTGCCCTGGAGGCGGAACTTCGTGCAGCAAAGGCGGAACTCGCCGCTGCTCGCGCGGGTCGTCCCCAACCCTCGCAGCCAGCTGAGGCCGACCTTCTCGGCCTTATGCGGCGGGAGATGGCCGCCTTCCAGCAGCGTTTCGACGTGCTGGAGGGTAGGCTCCTCCGACCTCCACTCGCAGCCGGCTAAGCCCAAGCCGCCAACCAGCCGTGGGGCACAAGCCAGCGCACCGGTGAAGAAGGGGGCGAAAGCGCCGACAGCCTTGTCACCGACGAGGGCGCCCGAGTCTCCCTCGGTGCTGGCTCCTGCGCCGATGAGCCGCAGACGAAGAGGAGCAGCGGCTGGAGCCCCAGCCGCATCGGCACCTACTCCGCCGTCTGAGTCGCGTGCTGGCAGCGAGTGGCAAGTGGCGGGGGAGGTGAGGAAGGTCGCCAAGGAGAGGAGGAAGCTCCGGAAGAAGGAGCAGCGGCAGCGGCGACAGCAGCGGCGCAAGGAGAAGCGCGCTGCGGCAATGCTCCTCGCCCCAAAATCTTCGGCTGTAGTTATCACACTACAGCCGGACGCGGCGAAAAAGGGGGTGACGTATGGCGAGGTCCTCGCCAAATTGAAGGGGGCGGTAACTCCCGCGGAGTTTGGGGCACCCGACGGGTTCGCAGTGAGGGTCACTGCCACTGGAGCCCGTCTCTTGGAGGTCCCCGGCGCGGCCAGCGGCCCGTCCGCTGACGCCCTTGCCGAGAGGCTCAGGGCGTGCATTGCGGCGGACGAAGCTCGCGTGTCCAGGCCCACCAAATGCCTGGAGCTACGCATCATGGGCCTGGACGACTCCGTGACGGAGAATGAGGTGGCGGCCGCTGTCGCCAGGACGGGGGGGTGCCCTGCTGACCAGGTCAAGGCAGGCACTATCCGCCCGGACAATACGGGGCTGCGGACTGTGGTAGTCAGCTGCCCCGTCACAGCGGCCAAAAAGCTGGCAGAGGGCAAAAGGCTCCTGGTGGGCTGGGTTTCGGCGCAGGTGAAGCTGCTGGAACCCCGACCTTTGAGGTGCTTCCGCTGCCTCATTGGTCATCATGTGGGCGCCAAATGCACCTCAGAGGTGGACCGCAGCGACCGCTGCTTCCGCTGCGGTCAGCCCGGTCACAGGGCCGGCGCTTGTACCACCCCGCCGCACTGCGTAGTATGTGCGGCGGCTGGCAAGCCGGCCGATCACCGGGCTGGGGGCAAAACCTGCTCCCCCCCCACCAAGCCCAGGAGCAAAGGTAGGCCCTTAGCCACCTCCACCGCTCCCACCGTCGCTCCCGCTGCCGCCGCAGTCGCCAACACCCCTGCGACTGCTGCTGTCGCCGCTGCCGTCAGAGAGGAGGTCGTGATGGATACCCAATAATGGCTCCATTACGCCTCCTCCAGGCGAACATCAACCACTGCGTCGCTGCTCAGGATCTCCTGCTCCAGAGCATGGCGCAGTGGTCGATCAATGTTGCTGTGGTCTCCGAGCCGTACTTCGTTCCAGCCAGGGAACACTGGGTGTCAGACCTGGACGGCTCGGTGACCATCATCTCGTCGGCCGCCGCCGGTACCCCAACCCCCGAAGGGCCTCAGCGAGGCAGGGGTTGCGTCGCGGCTCGGTTCGGAGAGATCGCCGTGGTGGGCGTGTACTTCTCTCCGAACCGAACTCTCGTCGAGTTCCACAACTCCCTCAGGGAGTTAGTCACCGTCGTCGTCGGGTTCCGTCCCCTCCCCGTGTTGGTCCTCGGGGACTTCAATGCCAAGAATTTGGCTTGGGGTTCCCGGCTCACTGATGTCCGGGGAAGGATGGTCGAAGACTGGGCTCTGGAGACAGGCCTAGTCGTGCTGAACCGGGGTTCTGTCCCCACGTGCGTACGGATGCGGGGCGAGTCAGTGGTGGACATTTCGTTTGCTAGCCCCGCTCTGTCATCGCGCGTTGTTGACTGGCGCGTCATGGAGGAGGTGGAGACGTTTTCGGACCACCGGTATATACGGTTCGACGTCTCCGCCGAGTCCGCAGACCCGCCAGTCAGACAGGCCCCGTGTGGCCCGCGTTGGGCGCTTAGGCAACTGGACCGGGAGCTTTTCCTGGAAGCCGCAGTCGTGCAGGCCTGGGTGATACCACCGGTCAGGCCAGCCGACATTAACGAGGAGGCGAGATGGCTCCAGGACGCCATGTCAAGGATGTGCGACGTGGCGATGCCCCGGATCCGACCGTGCCAACGCAAGCGCCAGGTGTATTGGTGGTCGCAGGAATTGGCAGACCTGCGCGGTGAGTGCACCGCAGCGCGACGCCGATACACCAGGCACCGCAGGCTCCGTCTCCGCCCTCTGGACGCTGAAACCAGAGAGGCGGAGCTATACGAGGAGTACAGGGCGGCGAAGGCCACCCTCAGGGTGGAGATCCGGCGGGCCAAAGATCGGGCCCGCGAGGAGATGTTGGAGACTCTGAACAGAGACCCGTGGGGACGCCCCTACCGGATGGTGCGTGATAAGCTCCGCACCTGGGCGCCCCCACTGACTCAGAGTCTCCGGCCGGAGGTCGTGGACGAAGTGGTTGGGGCGCTATTCCCCCGACCACAGACGCGTAACACGCCTCCGGCTATGCCCCCGCCCCCTGCGGTGCCCAATGCGGGCTACATCGACGACGACGACGAATCCGCTCCGGAAGTGACCGAGGTAGATTTGAGAGTGGCGGTGCGCCGGCTGAGCGGCAAGAATACCGCCCCAGGACCTGACGGGCTGCATGCCAAGGTCTGGGTCCTGGCCTCGGAGGCTCTCAGGCCTCGACTACTTGGTCTGTTCAGCGCATGTTTGGAGAGAGGCCAGTTTCCGCTGTCGTGGAAGACGGGTAAACTGGTCCTCGTGAAGAAGCCGGGGCGTCCTGCGGACTCCCCGTCCGCGTACCGGCCCATTGTGCTGCTCGACGAGGTGGGAAAGCTGTTCGAGAGGATAATCTCAGACCGCCTCGTCGGGCACCTGTCTGGAAGGGGGCCGGATTTAGCGGACGGCCAGTTCGGCTTCCGAAGAGGGCGCTCCACGGTGGACGCCATCATGCGCGTGAGGGACCTCACGACGGGGACAGCGTTGGCCGGGAGGCGAGTCGTCGTGGCGGTGTCTCTGGACATCGCCAACGCCTTTAACTCGCTGCCCTGGAGGTGCATTTTGGAGGCACTCCGGTATCACCGGGTGCCTGCCTATCTCCGTCGTGTAGTCGAGGCTTACTTGACGGACAGATGCGTCATCTACCCCGGTCACCGGGGCGTGTGGAATCGGCGAGAGGTGTCGCGCGGTGTCCCGCAGGGATCGGTCCTGGGACCTCTCCTGTGGAACATCGGGTACGATTGGGTGCTACGCACCGACCTCCCGAGCGGCGTCAGCATTGTCTGCTATGCTGACGACACGCTGGTGCTGGCGAACGGGAGGTCGCATCAGGCGGCGGCCGACCTGATGTCACAAGCGGTTGCGACAGTCGTTGCAAGGATCCGGCAGTTGGGACTCGAGGTGGCGCTCCACAAGTCCGAGGCCATGTGCTTCTATGGCCGTCGGAGCGCGCCACCTCCAGGTGGGTCCCAAGTAACGGCAGGAGGAGTTACCATCGGCGTCGAGTCGGCGATGAAGTACCTGGGTCTCGTCCTCGACAGCCGATGGAACTTCACGGAGCATTTTCGTCGTTTGGCCCCTAAGTTGGAACGGTCTGGGGCCGCGCTCAAGCGGCTCCTTCCCAACCTCGGGGGGCCAAACGCCTCCTGCCGGAGGTTGTATATGGGGATTGTGCGATCCATGGCCCTCTATGGTGCCCCTGTGTGGGCGCCGGACTTGAAGCGGCGGCCGGCTCGTACGCTGGTCGCGTCCCAGAGGGTCATGGCTATACGAGTAATCCGCGGGTATCGCACGATCTCCGGGGAGGCGGCGAACCTCCTTGCCGGATCACCGCCGTGGGATCTAGAAGCGAAGGCGCTCGCGCGCGTCTACAGTTTGCGCGCAGACGCGCGTAGCCGGGGCGAAGATCCTTTGCCGCGCCAAATAAGTGCGTGGCGGAATGAGCTCCGGCGAGATCTCATGGCAGAGTGGAGACAACGACTGTCGCAACCGAGGGCCGGGCACGCTACCATAGCAGCGGTAAGACCCCTCTTTGAGGAGTGGCTTGAGAGACGCCACGGCGTCCTCACCTTCCGTCTGACGCAGGTGCTTACCGGGCACGGCAGCTTCGGTAGGTTCCTGTTTCGGATTCAGCGGGAGGAAACGCCCGAGTGTCGTCATTGTGAGGACCACCTAGAGGATACGGTGGAGCATACGGTAGCGGTATGCCCTGCCTGGGCTGAGCACCGCCGTATCCTCAGGGAAGTGATCGGCGGCGGCGACCTCTCGCGCCCGGCCTTAGTCGAGGCCATGGTGCGGAGTGAGAGGAACTGGGACGCCGTCTCCTCCTTTTGTGAAGCAGTCATGCTCGCAAAGAGAGAGGCAGCCCGCGTGAGGGAGCAATCCTCCTCCTCACGCCCCAGCAGCCGCAACTGGCGACACTACGGGCGTCGGGGATCGAGGGACGATCTCCGGCCACCGTAAGTACGGGCCTGCGGTCGGCGAGTAAGGGCAGCTCGCCGCCCGACCAGAACCAGGCCCGAGCGTACGGCGCGTAGCGTTCCGCGCGCGCCTCAAAGAGCCAATAGACCACCACAGACGGGGCCCTAAAGGGCTGATGTTCAGCCGGGGTTGCGGGGTAAGCGCAATAAGGTACCGCGACCTCGGCACAGAGCAGGAGAAGGAACAGGGGGGTTTTTAGTCAGTAAGAGTCTGACACTCCCTCCTGCCCGGCCCTGGGCGGGAGAAGTCATTTGATGATTTTCCCCTCACAAAAAAAAAAAAAAAAAAACGCAACGCTATTTTTGTTCCTTATTTTAAAAGCTATATAATAATATATTTGAAAATATGACTATTTTTTGTGTCGCTATAAAAACTAGAGAACAAAAGAGTGTACTTCAGGAGTTTTATTATTAGCATTATAAATATTGACAACATGCTATTAGCATTATTAATGGTGACTTATAAAATATGAACTCTTTATATCAAAACTATATTATGAATAAAAATTTTATATTAAAATAATTATTTAATAAAAGTTTTAGTTTGCTAACGCATTATTATAGAGCTTCGATTTTAAACTTTTAGTGTATATTAAAATTTATAAATCCATAATAAGCTGATAGACTCCCAGTTTATTTAGTTTCTTATTAATATTTTCTTTTTATTTTAGAATCTCTCTATTTCTCTTTTTTTCTTACTATTTCTCTTTCTGTCTCTCTTTCTCTGTTCTTTTCAATCTTATTTTAATGAAAACTTCTACAATTTTCAGAAGACTACTCCGAATGGTTTGCAATGCCATTGATCATAGTAAGCACTATAGCCAGTCTGCTATGGAACTTCCAAGATCTGCTAATAGTTCTCATCAGTATTGGCCTTACATCTCGGTACTATAGACTCAATGGCTACGTCGCCAAGCTATGTGATGTGGACAATTATTCGGTGGAGTTTAATAAGGCAAGAAAATAATTTATTCCGTTTATTTTAGTAGCGTTAAGCCAAAACGGGCATATGGGGATTGTGCGATCCATGGCCCTCTACGGTGCCCCTGTGTGGGCGCCGGACTTGAAGCGGCGGCCGGCTCGTACGCTGGTCGCGTCCCAGAGGGTCATGGCTATACGAGTAATCCGCGGGTATCGCACGATCTCCGGGGAGGCGGCGAACCTCCTTGCCGGATCACCGCCGTGGGATCTAGAAGCGAAGGCGCTCGCGCGCGTCTACAGTTTGCGCGCAGACGCGCGTAGCCGGGGCGAAGATCCTTTGCCGCGCCAAATAAGTGCGTGGCGGAATGAGCTCCGGCGAGTGGAGACAACGACTGTCGCAACCGAGGGCCGGGCACGCTACCATAGCAGCGGTAAGACCCCTCTTTGAGGAGTGGCTTGAGAGACGCCACGGCGTCCTCACCTTCCGTCTGACGCAGGTGCTTACCGGGCACGGCAGCTTCGGTAGGTTCCTGTTTCGGATTCAGCGGGAGGAAACGCCCGAGTGTCGTCATTGTGAGGACCACCTAGAGGATACGGTGGAGCATACGGTAGCGGTATGCCCTGCCTGGGCTGAGCACCGCCGTATCCTCAGGGAAGTGATCGGCTGCGGCGACCTCTCGCGCCCGGCCTTAGTCGAGGCCATGGTGCGGAGTGAGAGGAACTGGGACGCCGTCTCCTCCTTTTGTGAAGCAGTCATGCTCGCAAAGAGAGAGGCGGCCCGCGTGAGGGAGCAATCCTCCTCCTCACGCCCCAGCAGCCGCAACTGGCGACACTACGGGCGTCGGGGATCGAGGGACGATCTCCGGCCACCGTAAGTACGGGCCTGCGGTCGGCGAGTAAGGGCAGCTCGCCGCCCGACCAGAACCAGGCCCGAGCGTACGGCGCGTAGCGTTCCGCGCGCGCCTCAAAGAGCCAATAGACCACCACAGACGGGGCCCTAAAGGGCTGATGTTCAGCCGGGGTTGCGGGGTAAGCGCAATAAGGTACCGCGACCTCGGCACAGAGCAGGAGAAGGAACAGGGGGGTTTTTAGTCAGTAAGAGTCTGACACTCCCTCCTGCCCGGCCCTGGGCGGGAGAAGTCATTTGATGATTTTCCCCTCACAAAAAAAAAAAAAAGCCAAAACGGGCTGAAAGTGACCTAATTTTAAGCTTATTTTTATGAATTTAGTATCTTAGGTTATATTTATCTACTTACATGTTTTTCAATTAATTGGATTGATAAAAATCGGCTTTATTTTGCAGTATGGGGGTGACTTGCACCACTTCCAATTGTTCCATGTTTTTAACCTGTCTTGCATGTAAATATTAAAACTTTAACAGCTAAATAATCATACCGAATAATTAAAAAAGTTTTATCACCTTTTTAATTATTCAAAAATGGACCACTATACATATGATTTGCTTCGAGATTCAGATAAATAAACTTACAAAATATATTTTTATTGAAATGACTGGGTAGTGTAGTGCACACTCAGAAAAATGATTAAATTATTTACAAAATAATCAAAGAATAAATCTAATAACGACATATTCCAGAAATCGGAAGCCTTGAAAGTGTACACTTGGCGCAAAATACGGGAGGCGTACGTGAAGCAAGCTATGTTAGTGCGACGGATGGACGTCGCCCTCGGGGGTATCATCATGTTGTCCTGCTCTTGCAACTTCTACTTCATATGCTTACAAATGTTCCTGGGAATTACGTAAGATAATATAAGTACATTTAATTTGCTTTAGTTTCCACTAAAGCCAAAATAAAATACTCAATACATCCTCACCATCAGACAGAAAACGTCCTCATTTGTTTTATTTGAAGAAAGTTAACATACATCTAATCCTTATGATAGAATTACTATCACTAAGTTTCGCTTTCGTGAGAAAAATAAAATTTCTAATTTCTAATTATAAGCCTAGTATCTGACTTAAGTAAGCTCATAATGGTCTATCATGACCTCTTTACCACCTTCTCAGTAGGATATGTTCATACACTTCATGCACTGTTACACAAGTGACGATTTTACATTTACGAATATACTGAACAGTTATAAATATATGACTTAGCTGGTCTATACATTGTTTACCTGAAACTGCATTTTACCCAAGACAGGAAGAATAAAATTTAGAACGCATTTAAATACATACATACCCACCCATCAACAGTCATGGACGAAACTTAGTGATTAAAATATAAGTTTCATTAATGGCGTCATTCCTAAAAACATCAAAAATTTTGACCTTGAACCATCTTTTTGAAAGAAAACAGCTTTCCTTCAGTGTCAACTACTAAACAAATAAAACAATCTTCTTTTTGCAGCCAAGGACTCTCCACCGATTTAATGACAGGTATCTATTACGTGGTATCACTCGCTTGGCTGTGTATACGAGTGATAAGTGTCGTACTCTCAGCGTCCGGAGTGCACACACACTCGAAGACTGCTCTCAAGTACCTCTATACTTATGAAACCAACTGCTACAATATTGAAGTAAGTTAAAATAGGTTTTTGAACGGGGTGAATCATCCAATGCCTTCTTTCTCCTTTCCTTCTTCCGTTTAGCCATGACGCTGTCCAGGTCGATCAATGTAAACATGTTTTTCCTTATTTCTTCGTAACTTTTGACAACTACTTACAATACATTTGCCAGCATTCCTCCTTTTTTGAGGAGGGATAGTTATTAATGACTTCTCTCTACTATTTGTGACCAAACAATTTGTGACCAAATACTTTTGCCCTATTGGATCCCATCTCTGGTCTATGTTCAGAGGTCTGTTGGCTCACTGCAGCGCACGCGGAACGATACACGCGGTACATAAAAAGGATTCCAAAGATGATTGAGGGAGTTCACACTTGTCAGACAGTGACAACAGTCCTCTAATGCCTTTTAAACTGCGACCTCCGACTTTCTCCATATTCTCCCTGACTGTTTATCCATCCAAAGTATGTTTGTAAGATATCGCTTCTTAGCGATAAGCTCGCCTATTGTACTATGTTTTTTTATTGTGTGACCTTTATATTTATTTTGTGTACAATAAAAAGATTTGTATTGTATTCTATTTCCTGTTCATCGCGAAGATTTTGGTCTCATGGAGTAAAGGAAGACCATGATTAGTGATTACTCCTTAATGTTATATTTATGACAGTTTTTTGTTTAATATTGCTGTTTTGGTTTTAATATGTGTAAATTGTAAAACAGTCATCTTCGCGACTTTTTAACAGGAAATCACCGTGTAGCATAAAATTGATTTTGAAGCAAAATTTAAATAATTGACGTTTAGAAGCAATTGAAGAAGCGTTAAAACTACTTCTACATAAAACGAGTAAAAAAAAGTTAAAATCGTTCTATCCAATCAAGAAACTTACCGAACATTAATGCAACGACCCTGTATAGCGTATACAGCCAAAATAGAGTTGCAAATGTACTTTACTTGTGGCTCGTTAGCTTCATTTATTTACTTCACGTAACTGCAATTAGAACTTTGTTTCCAGGTGGGAAGGCTCCAAGACCAACTAACTAAAGATTACATCGCTCTCAGCGGAATGGGATTCTTCTATCTAAACAAAACTATTTTGTTACAGGTACTTACACTCACGCTATTACACACCTTAAACGTTGAACGTTAAAGTTGATAGTTCTACAACTTTAATATCGTGTTAGTGTTATTTTTGCTATGAAATTGGGACTGAAGCAATTTCGACTTTGCGTTGTTGGGGTTAGGTTGATAATAAATAGAGTGCTTATTATAGTATTTGGGCCCTAAGTCTAGGGTTTAGATGAATGTGTGAATTTTGGGGTTCGTTGATTTATTAAGACGTAGGTGTGTATTAGTAGCAGGCTGGAATAACAATGTATGACGATTTGTGGCTTGCTCTGTCAGCTATTAAGCTGTGAATAAATAACAGTTCAATTTGTTCGAAGTCTGTCAAAATTGAATGTAAGTTGCATTTAGTTATTTAGAGTTTATCTGAAAGGCCTTCTTAATTTGGGCCGCATTATCTACAGTTAAGGTTATAGTATTTATTGGTGTTGTTAGAAGTTCTTTTAGTACTTTATTTCCGCAAAAATATTAAGGGGCTTTAAAGTAACTAGTTTGGTCCTTGGTATCAGAAATTTAATAAATTTTGGATTACGTATTGCAATGTAATAAGACTTGTGGAGTTACGGCTAGTAATTATCTATACATCTAGATATGATATGAGGATCAGGAAGATATTGGGTTGAGGCCAAGTATCACTGCAGTAGCCTTATAGGAAATTCTATACCAATATTTAGATTCTCAAAGATTTAAGCATAAGTAGGAACTGTATCCTACACAAAACTACACAACGGATATTGATGCGTTTTTTAAAATAGATGGAATGATTGCAGACAAAAGTTTATATGTATAAAAACATTCATGAAATAGTATTGAAATTGGGTATCAGCTCTGAATACGTGCGAAGCCAGGAGCCAGTAGTATAATTATATCTGAAGAGTTTGTTTGCTTGAATGCACTAATCTCCGGAACGACTGGTTGGAATTGAACAAATCTGTTTGTGTTGGATAGATCTTTATCGAGGAAGGCAGTATAGGCTAAAAAATCATTACGCTACGAGCAATAGGGGCCGGGCAGAGGGAAACCGCGGTAGATTAGTAGCTTAGTAATATTATTATTATTTTTCAGATGGCTGGTGCTATAATAACTTATGAATTAATATTAATTCAGTTCGACGGACAAGGGCAGATTGATTCAAATAGTACTCTAAACATTCCATTAAATGTGACTAATATATAAAACTGGCATTTTTATTTCAATTTTTACTATTTATTCAAATCCAATTTTTATAAATCTAAAAGAATAATAGCCGACTTCATGGTTGACGCCGTGGCTGGGCAACTGGTTGCCGCGCTACGTGTCGCGGGTTCGATTCCCGCACGAAACAACTTTTTGCATGATCCACTAATTGTTGTTCCGTGTCTTGGTGTGATGTAAATGTGAAATTGTTTATAAAAGACTATACAGGAAGAAATCATAGGGCAGGGCAAGGTATTTTTTTCAAAAAATGAGAAAGTGGGAAAATATTTAGTAAATTGATCTAATCAAAATCAAAGCCAAAATCATTTATTCCAGGTAAACTATAAAAAGGTATTTTTGAAACGTCAAAAGATTATTAGTCTGTTCGTCAGTGAAGCTAGGTGCTAGGTAATATAATTAAAGTATAATATTAATTTAAGTGCAGGAGAGCCATGCTTCGGTACGAATGGGTCGGCTCGACTGAAGTGATACTACGGGCCTCACAGAAAACCAGTGACAAAACGGATGTTACCGGAGGCCCCATCCTTCCCATCTCCAATCCCTCCCCAATCTCTAAATATCCAAAACTATAATTTCCAAAAGGTCCGCAACTCGTAACCCCTTCGCGGTTGCCGGTGTGTAATGTAGCAATCCACCAACTGGTTGGGCGTCCAGTCACATAAATAAAAAAAATATGAAAACTAACGACTTACTCACTTTGACTAACTGAGAAATGCTCTACAGTTTTAAAATCACAACGGGACTTTTATTTATAAGGACCATGCGCAGTGCGGCTGCAAGACGTCATGCGACGTCGACGTCTCAGTTGGTTCACGTGAATAAGCCGTAAGTTTTCAATAAAAAACTAGTATGTCTCGTTAACTGTTGCTAAAGTTTACCTTAGTACAACCAACCCAATAGAGTTGTTGTTGATGGTTAACGTTTAAAAGAAACATATTTAGGTACGTGCTAAACAATATGTATCTTTGCAGTTTACATAAATAAAGTACTTTTTTCTTGAGGGAGGAAAGTCTAAATGACTTCTCTTACCCCAGGTAGGACAAGAAGAAGTATCAAAGTCCTACTGACTAAAACCCACTCAATATTGAACTTGTACCCTCAACCCCGCATCAAAACATTACCCACATTTTTTTTTTTTTGACTGTTGATATCTGTCTAGTAAAATATAATAAAACTTTTTCAAAGAGTTTGTTTGAAACTACTGGTAATATCTGAAACTACTGGTTCGAATTCAGTAATTTTATTTGTAGTCTCCATTTATAAGCTAAAAAACATCACGCTATGACTAATATAACCGAGAGGCAGGTAAAACAAAGAGGACGCAGCTAGTTTCTTATATAAAAGAATTGAAAAGCGTTTAAGAGTTTCATAAAGATTGACATTTAATCACAGAACTTCAATAAAAGATAGATATTTTAAAAATATATAATAAAAGGCCTCACTATATTAATTATTCATGTCTGCGTGTACAGTTATATCTAAACCTCATTACGTTCCAATCATTGTAAACATATAAAAGATAGTATCAAAATAATGAATCATAAATTATACTAAACAAATTACGACATAAACATACACTGACATTCAGACAAAATTATTTCAAAGTACCATTTTATTTGAAAGCACAATACCACCCTGTGTCCGAACAATTTTTATTTCTATTCAAACTTACATAGAGCTGAAAATACTTAACAAGGAGTTTTTCTAGAAAAATCTATGTTGAACATTTCAATAATTGTTTCCAACATGCGATAGAGGTGTGTGAAACGATAATTTTCATAATAAATGCAGGCTTTTCGAGACAAAGTATATAAAATTATTGATGATACATTGAAATGTGAAGGAAAGAGATTATTATGTGTCATTTCTATAAGAATTTGTATTAAACAAATGTCGTGTGATCCATTGGAAACAAAGGAAAGGGTTGAAAGTAAGTGAAATACATATTTTTATCAAGCAATTTGTCAAACCCCAAGCGAACGCAGGTTCGCCATATTGTGTTTTAAAATGCAACGATTGAAAGGTTACATAGTAAGTTACAAATATTGAAGACGAGATTCTTTTTGGAAATCGACTTACACAAACACTTTACAAAATAAATATGAAAAATCCAGTTTTCTTTGTGTTTACTTGAGTCTAAAAGTCTGAGCAATTACCATCCAAGTAAAATAAAAAAAACATTACCTAGACTATCAATTAATTGGAAATTTTTCATAAATTAGTACAGATTTACTAAAATATTCTGCTCAGCTTAGTTTTCAATGTGTATTTTATTTATTACTAAGGTAGTAAATATCATTTTTGCGGCTGAAAATCTTTTTATACACTCAAAAAGGGTTCCAATTCAGTAAGGCGTAATGTTTAAGTGCGAAACTTTGGACTAGTAAAAATTTTACTGTCGTTTCGTTGATATAAAGTTTTATTTTTATCGTCGCGGCGCACTTCATAAAGTTCTAATTAAAACTGTTAAAATTTACAGCTTGAAAAATTCAATTATTATTGGGACACGAAGTGACAAATCTTGAAATTATTATGAATCGGAATTTGGCGAGACAGCTGAACGAAAAGAAATATGATGTAAGATTTGAGTACTTATTTAATTTTCAATTATATTTTCTTTTAATGCACAATGCTTCATATGTATTTAAATAAAGCAGCAACTATTATTTTTGTGTATATTTATCCAGTCAATCTAGAAGGCATAGGTACGCTTATATTAACTTACATTAACAGTGGACATTTTGTGTTTAGTTATAATGTGATGATGATTCTGAAGTTTTATGCAAGACCCATTATTATGTTTTAAAGTAGAAGACTTAAGCATGAGGATAAGTTTTGGCTTGATGCCCTTACTAACATGCTACAACTGGGGTTCGTCCTGTTAAGTAGTCAAAAGCCATAAAGTCAAGCCAATCACGCTGCAATCCTTTAAAAAAGGGTTGGTTACGATTATGATTTTTTTAACGTAGATCTGCAAACGAGCAGACGCATGACCTGATGGTAAGCAATCAGCGCCGCCCATGGACACCCTCAACGGGGGAGTTTGAGTGCGTTGCCGACCTTTTAGGAATTAGGGATTTGGAGATTTAGGGACTGTTAAGGGATTGGGGAAGGGAAAAGATTGGACCTCCGGTAACCTTACTCAGACGGCGAAGCACAACGGCGTGGTTGTTTTACGCCGGTTTTCTGTGAGGCCGTGGTATCGCTCCGGTCGAGTCGATCCATTCGTGCCGAAACATAGCTCTTCTACACTTAAAAATAAATAGCACAATCATCATCATAGTCGTTATTATCAGTTTGTTTTGTTTTCAGCTTTGTTTCATCTTCAGCTGGGAACTTTGACTGAAATAATGATTTTCACTATTTTTTTTCAGGATTTTCTTCCTATCCTAAACAACGTCTTTAAGAAGGCCCGTTACTTTGGGATCTCTGGCTATGGATGCAGTCTCGCTTTTGGGTGGAGTCTGATACTATTTGCAATGCTGGTGGTGGCAGAAACTGTAGCAGTTTGGAAAGTCGTGAGATTCCTTCGTGGATGGCTGATGAGCGCTTCTGATAGTGAGTTTTTGATTTAAATAGTTTTTAAAATTTTAATTGAACTGTTGCTATTTTCATTCCATTTTGGTAATGATTTTATGAGCAACAATAAAGATTTGCATATAATCCAGCCTTTAAGCAGGAAAATGAATGGGGCGGTTCTTTGACTAGTATGTTAATATTGTCCCACTCAGAAAAACTCAGAAAGTTTTGGCAAGATTTGTCGACAGTCAGTTTTACTGCAATATTTGTATCAAGGGATGTTGATGGAGTTTCTTGCTCGTTCTTCTCCATTCGAAACTACAATTTGGAACGAACACCTATCTTCACTGACGAGCAGACTGACAGACTACTATTCTATTTTGACGTTTCAAAAGTACCTATTTATGGTTTAGTTGGAATAAATGATTTTGATTTGATTTGATCTAGGATGCCTCAAGTATCGCTGTCATAAAATGAATGCAAAATGATTTCTTCTTTCAGATGGTCTTATCGGACGGATGGCAGGAGCTATCTTCTACGCAAATGCTTTAATATCTTTATTCTTTTCATCAAAATTTGTACATTCTTGGAGGAACCTTTATACTTACTGGTTAAGTATGGAGACAAATACTGCTTTAAAATTTCCTCCTGATGTGAGGATGAAGAAGATGGCCATTTTTATAATTGTATTCGTTATAAGTGTTGCTAGTGGTAAATAATTTTTGGAATATTTTTTCTATTTTCTATAGACCTTTGTTCAGTGAAATTTTGTGGAAGTATCAACCAAAAGTAAACCAATTATTTATGTTTCAAGAATTTGATTGTTTTTTTTTTTGCAAATAGGCCGTAAAATGGCACTTTTACACGTCAAACTCGTCGTTTAACTTTCCTTTAAACGTTTTACAGACTTTAGCGGAAATTAATGGTAGCCTCAAAGTTAACTAGAATTTATTTAGGTTTACTATCACAATAATACGATACATTGCATATTATGAATGTTAAATTTTTTATTTTACAATTTGTTTGTTCACAGTTGAACACATACTGAGTATGATATCAGCAACTGGTGTTGGGTTTCCCATAGAAGAATTCGTCTATAGATACGTCACTCTTTCTCATGGGTTCCTGCTAAGAGCTCGTAAGTTCTCGTAAATCTATGCAAAATTAAACCTTATATAGAAAGCGACAAGAATCTTTTTGAAATTAACCGTTAGATGCTTTGAGACACGAACATAGAAGTTCGAATAATGTTTGATTTCTCCCGATATCGGTTCGATTATGCCTGATTGCTTTTGAGCTATAATTAAGGTTCTATTAAGTAACGGTACATGGTCCATTAAAATGTTTTTAATAAAAAAACTTGGAAGGATTGGGTCACCTCCTCCCTGGTGAGGCCCTGGTAGGTACTACTCCGGTCGAGCCGACCCATGCGTGCCGAAGCTTGGCTCTCCTACACTCATTCCTAAACTGGTGTTTTTTTTACGTTTTACTTTAATAAGACTTTTATTCTTTACTATTTTCACTGTTTCAGAGGACTACAGTCCTTGGAATGGTATACCAATTTTCATTCTCAGCAAATTGGCAACTGTTCTATGGAACTTTCAAGACCTGATCATCATTCTGATCAGCATGGGTCTTAGTTCTCGGTACAAAAGGCTGAATTTGTATGTTAGAAACGTAGTCACTGTTGAAAAACGTTCTGAGGCGAAGCCAAAGGTATGTGGTGTCTCTGCATAGATTAATATGTTTTCTAATAAACCTATACACAAGAAAATATAGGCAACTGACTGCTAGAGGATTAATGGGTTCTATTTCTACACGCAGCATCTCTTTGATCTAAAGATACTTGTTTCTGGTCTAGGTGTGGTGTGTATGTGAATTGATATGTTTGTAAACGTATCCATGATACAGGAGAAAATTCTAGTTTGTGCCTAAATTTTATTAAAAAAAAGATAGACAGAATATAGGTATCTGAAATGTATTTTATGACACACTTAAATGTTAGTTGATGTACGACAGTGACAATATTTTTTAATTGTATTTTTGTGATCTGTTTTGTAGCCATAACTTTATCAAATAGCTCAGCCCTTATGACGTAATTTTAAAAACGTTATCTAGCCTCCTATATCTAGGGTTCATTTATCTATAAATGTTTACATTTATATCACACTCAGACCCTGAACAACAACCTGTGGATCACACAAAGAGTTTAATCAAAACGTTGCAGCCCAGAGCCCTGGTTGCCCAGCTACTAAACCAACTGTACAATCTTAATAGCTTTATTAGACATGTTAATAACTTAATTTATGAAGGACAATAAAGTGACGGACTATATCTCATTTTGGACCATAATTCTTAGGAGGCTATTTGCTCATCTACCTTCTTTTGTTCACTTCCCTATTAGCAGCCTCAGCATAATAACCTGCGGATGACGATAAACCAGATACGTGGCTTCTCATTAAGGATACTTGCAGACGCGCGTCAAATCAAGCCAAGAATATTGTTTTTTTTTTGCGGATATTTTATGAGTTTCATGTTTCAATGTTTAAGTTTCATTTCATTCTATGAACACTTGTACAAACAACAAAGTGTATAGAGATAAAGTTAGCCAATTTAATGATTCTGTATAATGTTAAAACTTTAAGTTTTCAAAAATGTTCGTGAATAACTGTTTTTGAGGACTTAAAATCGTCCAGTTGCCACTTCTGCTATATAATATAAAAACCATAACTCGTAATTTAAATATATTTGCGAAAATATTACTGAAAAACTTATGGTACGTATATTCCTCCAGTTGGTCCCGCTTAGTTTGGGGTAAGAGATTGTATAAGACTCTTACTGACTAAAAACACCACGTCACTTCTCATACATTGGGCCAGGCAAAACATCTTTGAACTTCCGTACTTTTTAACGCAACTCCCGTACTTTTGTGACCTTGACACACATGCAAATGAGCATATACAAAGTTTCATTAAAATCGGTTAAGTAGTTTCCATGATTATTGGCTTGAGAGTTCTTAAAACGACATTCGCGATAAAAAATCGTCAAGGTCATTCGCTCGTCTGCGCTACTGACAAAATCCTCCACAAGACCAATTAGAATCCTTTGTGTACAATCTTATTAACACTTCGTTTGTTGTTTCCTAATTGTGTAGCCAAACAATATCATTATATTTGAGACACAAACTTGTGTTATAATGTGCCTTAATTATTACTGGAAGTACTTCATTTGTACTTGTTTAATGGTTATATTAAATACCTGTTATTATTTTTATATGGTGTTTGTTGTTGATTTTCTCTTGTATGCTAAAAAAGAATTGTCCTTAGCCTAGCTAAAAAATTCAAATAGCCTGGACTAACTTAGTCAATTTTGATTTTAAAATACTTGGGAATGCAAAAGAAAAAGTGCGTATATAATACTAAAAATGTCAATTTCCTTTCCCATACAAACTGTCCTATAAGTGACAGAAAAGGAACAAAGTTACATTTTTTTTTTTAATAGCAGCAGAAATATCTTCTAAAGTCCATTATTTAATACATTTTAAATCGCATGTTTTCTGCTTACAGTTTGGCACAGATCTCTACTTACAAATTCAAGTATGGCGTCGTTTACGCGAGGCGTACGTTAGACAATCAACACTTGTGCGTATGGTCGACCGTAAACTTGGATCTCTTGTGCTGCTATCCAATATCAATAACTTGTATTTCATCTGTCTGCAGATCTATCTTGGAATACAGTAAGTGATATTATTATTGAAAAGAGACTGACCTCTGAGTTTGTTTCGGCATTTCTTTTCAGAGTAGTCAGATAGGAATTGCCGGCTTGATCTAGTTTTTCACATATAAATTGACGTGTAAAAGTGCCGTTTTATAGCCTATTTGCAAAAAAAAATTCATTGTTTCATTGTTTCATTGTTTCATATACTTTTTTTGACGAAGATAATACGTTACTTACAGGTTATGTGAATATCAGCCTATCACTAAAAGAATAGGGTATTTTTTCCTATTGTTGTTCCTCTTTGTGGATAGATGATGAACTTATTCCAAATAATTTAAGATTATTCGCAGAACTAAAATTGAGAATTAAGCGCGTTTTATATAAGCAATGCAAATTTAAGTATGTGAGTTTTCAACATTGTATTCCGCCGTGTGATTGAGATTACTTGATGTAACCAGTGTCACGACCTAACATTTCCCCTATCATACAAATGGACCAATTCTTCACATCACTAACCATTCCTTATCTCTTTTGTCGTCTTATCGACCAAAAATTCGCAGTTATTCGTAATAATAGAAGATTTACTCAATAAAAATGTTAATCAAATAATATTCAATCAGTGCTAAGAACCCTTACTATTTTTATCTGATGAACTTATTATAATATCGAAGACCGTCACGAAAACTTAATTTTAAATGATTCGATTCAAACGAATCAGGCGAGCTTATCCTAATAATATTTTATTAAAATAGAAATATATGCCAAAAATATTTCTTTCATTTTTTATTAAAAATCGGTGAGCATTCTAAATGTTGATATATTAAGTACCCAATCGACAACAGACTTCAAAAATAGTGTGACTCAAATAAGTCATATCTTAGTTTCCTGGCCTGTTACATTAAGCGAGGGAGAGCTAGTGCAGCGACCTCGTCCATTTCCTTGCGTTGTATTTCTCCATGTGAATGATATACAAGCATCACTATATACCCCGACGTACATCTCGAAATATCTCAATCCTTAAATGTAGCGATTGACTATGGGGCACAGATTGCTTACCCTCGGATAATACGTCTGCCTATTGCTACCCTATTCTTATACAAAGGTTTTAGAAAAATTTTACTTAGAAACTATTTAAGTAATAAAAAATGCCATTGCAGCAAGGTTCGAACCACTACGTGTGTCAAAGGTCATTGGCCTTACTTACAGTTTCAAATAACAAAATTATCAAACAATCATATCTCACACCGTTCACAATGTCTCAATATCTGATTAAGGATGTAATGAATACAAACTTTCTAGCATCAATTGTTAATTAAGCTATCTTATTAAGGGTTGACACTAAAGGGCTTTCTCTAAACAAAATAAAGTAAATTGTACTAAGTTTTGAAAGTCGAGGGAGCTAAATTAAGTGTACTCTGTTGACTCAGGTCCACAAAGAGGTTTGTGTCCTTCACTTTAGGAAAAGGACCACTCTTGAAGACTTGGTCCTTTTGTCCGAGTATCGTGGACCTTGAGTTTTTTGATTTGTAAGAAGATTGAAGAGGCGGTTTTGGCTTTTAAGAACCTTAAGTTCTCTCCATGCACAATGGGTTGAGGGCCACTTGTTCTGTTCTTGTGAAAGCTGTTTTTTTACAATCTCTGAATGTGGCACGTGCTTAAAATGGCGACCTTTTTCCCCATTTGCTACTAAAATATGCAAAGTAGAAAAGGTTATCTGTAAGTCCTATCGTAGATTTGATGTTGAAGTGGCTTTAAGAGTTGTTCATTATTTGCGAACTGACAAAAATAATCAAGGTCTGTGTAAAACAAAGTTTTTTCTTGTATCAAACCAGATTATTGCATCTTTCTATCTTTATCTTTATTCAAATGTTATTACTTCAATGAAACGTGTAGTGGGTCGTATCGAGTTTAAAATCAATAGAGTTACTTTTTTTCAAGAGAATCAATTAAGGTTGTTTTTTAATAAGAATATTATCGTATTACCTACATTACTTGCCCTAGGGGTGAGAGCGATAGACAGACTTTTCCTGACAAAAAACGACCCATTCTTGGTCTTGCTCCTGGTCGAGGCCAAGGTATACATTACGGCACTTCCACCCACAACCCCGATTAAATTGGATGCGGCGCTGACACATGCGAACGCTAGGAAGTTTTAGCCCTATTCTCATGTCTCCCGTGGGTCACGCTCGAAAAAGATGGCGTCGCGCGCGCATTTGTACTGGATTATGGGTTTGGTTTTTCCAGTCAGAGAAACGTCTTGCATACGCGTAATAAATATTACAATGGTTTATTTTTATTTAGTTTTATGCTTGATTTTTACATTTTTAAATAATAAAAAAAAACACTTAAAGATATAAAAATCACTATCTCACCGGTTACGGAAGGGTTCCAAGCAACCGGTGGTCAGGGCTCCAGAGAAAAGAATCTCCAGACAATGCGCGCACAGCTTTCTGCATTAGGTTTTTTACAATAGTTAGGTATTAAGTGTGGGAGAGCCAAGCTTCGGCACGAATGGGTCGGCTCGACTAGAGTGATACCACGGCCTCACAGAATACCGGCGTGAAACAACCCACAGCGTTGTGTTTCGCCGTGTGAGTGAGGTTACCGGAGGCCCAATCCCTACCCTCCCCTATGCCTTCACAATCCTTATATCCGGGACCCCTATCCCCAAAAGGCCGGCAACGCACTCGTAACTCCTTTGGTGTTGCGGGTGTCCATGGGCGGCGCCAATTGCTTACCATCAGGTAATCCGTCTGCCCGTTTGCCGATTTATACCATAAAAAAATAGGCACAATTCAATTTTAAATAATACAATATCTTTCATAAAACACTTCCAACAATTTGTTATAAATAGTTTTATCTTACGATTCGTTTATTTATTTCAGTAAGCCGAGTTCGAGCACAATAAGTCGTTGTTATTTCCTCTTCTCACTAAGCTGGCTAATTCTAAGAGCTTGCAGCGTAGTGATTGCTGCGTCTGACGTCCATCTGCACTCGCAAAGAGCTTTGAAACTACTGCACTCATGCCCCAGTGCTAATTATAATATCGAGGTTTGTATAACAAAACCAGAAGTAGAAAACAGTAAATATTAAGAGGGAAACAAATAATTATTTTAGTTATTTAATAAAGACAAAACGCTAATGATTTAATTTTACTGCATTGATGATGTTGTAATAGTGTACTTGAAATATATTTGATGAAAATAATTATTAGATATCATTAAGCAAAAGAAAAGGTAATGCTAAAATATACATATGTATATACCAAACTTTTAAAATCACCCCCACAGTGTAAATAAACTTACAAAGTACACGCTATTTTTAATATAAGTATTTCAAAATTTCGAACACGTATCCTCGGGTTTTAGATGCTTCTAAAATACTTACCTTAAAGAACTTAAATAACTTTTAGAAATCACGTTGATAAATATTAAGAGTCGTCAACCTTAGGTTTAAAATATAATATATTTTTTATCTAATGTCTACAATGTCTTCACTTCACAATACTTTAACACTGGAAATTTTCAGATCAAAAGGCTGCAATACCAGCTGGCACACGACTTTGTTGCGCTGACCGGAATGGGATTTTTCTCACTACGAAGAGAACTCTTGCTTGAAGTAAGTCTCCTATTGTTATGAAAACGGCTTTCATAAGATTATCATCATTTTGATCCATGGAAGTGGGCATGGTTTCAAACCTCGCTTGGAAAAATCTTTCCGCGATCCATATATTGTTTTGAGGTTCTGTATGAATGCGTTAATGTAGTTTTGTAATAAATAGGTATTATACTTATACCTATATGTATATTTTGAATAACTAAATCAACCACACATCCCTTTCAGGTAGCAGCAGCAATACTGAAGTACGAATTAGTTCTAATACAATATGATAAATAGTAGTACCAGAGGCCCATTTTTTATTATAATTGTAGAAATGTTTAAGTAATTATTCACAGATTATTAAAAAATAATAAAACGTTTAAAAAAATTTGGGAATTATGTTTGTGTTTTAATATTGTCATTTAATTTTAAATTTTTGTTTATTAAAGTGACCTTTAAAAATAGAAATCCGTTCACTGCTCAGAGGATCATTATGAAATTATCTGATAACGATGCCCATAAATAAAAGTCCCAGTGTAATTTGAAACAAGTAGAGCATTTCTGCAATAGTTCACTGCAGTAGGCGATTTTAGTCAAGATATTTTACCTAAAGTTATGATTCGATTATATGTATTTGCATATTTGTATGTACCAAAATAAATAAATGCATTCTTAGTAATTTTCAGAGACAAATATTTTTTTCCTTAAAAACTAATCTGTCTCTGCTCCATAAGTTAAGGTACATTTATTATATTTTAAAGTGTGAACCCAGGTTCCGAAATGATGTTTCAAACTTTTAAAAGGATGGCTAAACTTTTACTAGAAACTATATGTGCTAAAACAACAGTCAAGTTCAAACTTTCTACAGAAACGTAACCATACGTTTCTTTTTTAGTTGTGGATTTCCGCAAATGTGATGGTAATTAAAATCTAATATTTAATTTTATAAATTTATGGGCATATTTTAAAGTATTTTTCATGCATATTTGTCTCCATACAAATATATGGTACGTCAACAAAATAAAAACCCCCGACACAATAAAAGTTAGTATCTGCTCAAAACTTTGAGCTAACACAGCAAATGCAATAAAATTGTGAAGAGATTTCACCAGCCATTTTCCCAAAAAAAACACGAGCAAGGGTTTAATAAAATACGGTACACAACTACGGCTTACACTTCGGGTATGAAAGCCTACAAAATAGGCTTTGTTTTTTCCAAAAACGAGTATTCAATTCCCGTCACTATCAAATTGCCTAGATTCAGGTGAAAAAATTTGAAACATTGCTAAATGAAATGCCTTTTTTCCAAAACGTTACTCGATATTGGACAGGTGTTTTTTATGAGAAAGGTCGGCAAACGAGCATGGACACTTGCAACACCAAATGAGTTGCCAGCCTTTTGGGATTTAGGGTTTAAGGATTGGGGACGGAGAGGAGAGGAGTAGGTTTGGACCTTCGGTAACCTCACTTACACGGCAAAACACAACGCTTTGGCTTGGCTCTCCAAAAACTGAAACTATCATAAGGAGTAGTCTGCGTTGAGTATTTTAAAGTATTACTTGTGTGTGAAGAATAAATTTCTGTTACTTTAAAAGAATATTTGAAGAGCATATAGTCAGTTTTGTCTTGTTGCGCTTAAAATTGTAACCTATAACTTAACATTTACCTTTTTTGAGCGCGGAAAATGTTCAAATGACTTCTCTCACACTAGGTGAGGTACTCTTACTGACTAAAAACCACCTCGTTTCTTCACCTGCTCCAGTCCGAATTTGCGGCATATTATAATATTGTTCTGTCGCAACCCCGCCTAATATGAAACTAAACCCACATTGTAAGAATGGTCACATAGCAAGGTTTTGAAAGTATTCCATATGGAAGGGAGTATCACGCTGAAACTTTTTCCAATGTATTTATTTTTTTATTCTTTATATACAATTGCATATCGGAGGACTTAATGCTAGAAGCATTTTCTACCAGTCATCCTTTTGGTAGTGCAGAGATGTGTGGTAATGTTCTAGTACTCGGAGGTAGAGGGGAGTTACAAAGTAACAACTAATTCATTTCACAGTCTATCTGAACTGAGAACGCATACAGATTGTGCCACTACCCGCTCCCGCTATGACTATGCAATACTTATGTTTAAAAACCTACACTTAACTTTTCAAACCTTTATTTTTCTGTACCAAAACCAGTGAATAGTCATAAAACACTTGATTTCACAAAAAATCCTTCTCCATTACACCTTGACAGATTCTATGATCATTTCAATCCCTCTCACGTACAAGGACGGTTTGATAATATCGGCAGTTTCAATATTTCTTTCACATTTGTAATCCTTTTGACATTTTTTGGGTTTTTTTGTATCCATGTCACGTTTTAGACTTACTCCTTTGGTAGGCGTTTACTTCTCATAATTGGTATGAACGCCTGTACACGCATTGGGAATTGAAGCGATACCAGCTAAGGTTTTGTTATTTTGTTCCTTGCTATCATTATTGTTATGATATTTTCTTCCATTTTCAAAAATTGTTGTTTTCATGACGAAGGTTGTTAATTTTTTTTTCTAAGTTTCTATTTTTGGTGCTCCATAACTTTATATAAATTTAACTTCACAGGGCCAATGTAATATTCTATGACTATTTTCTTACTTTTCTTTATTAATTGTTCTACAAAATGTTACTGTAGCAATTTTCGACATATCGACTTTTTTTTATGTAATAGGTCGGCAAACGAGCAGACGGATCACCTGATGGTAAGCAATCAGCGCCGCCCATAGACACTCGCAACGGAGGAGGTACGAGTGCGTTGCCGACCTTTTAGGGATTAGGGATTTGGAGATTTAGGAATTGAGGAGGGATTGGGGAAGGGGAAGGATTGGGCCTCCGGTAACCTCACTCACACGGCGAAACAACGCAGTGGTTATTTCACGCCGGTTTTCTGTGAGGCCGTGGTATCACTCCGGTCGAGCCGACCCATTCGTGCCGAAGCATGGCTCTCCCGCACTTAAATACATCTGATTCTACATACATACTACAGTAAAATAAAAATTAAGACTACCCACTATTTATTTAGAGTTTAAAAGAGATTGTCACCTCGAAGTTTGTTTCGACGTTATTAAAGTAGTCAATTAAGATATCTGGCTTCATCTAAATATTGTTTATAATGTTAACGTATAAAAGTGCTAGAGGTATTCTAGCTTTTTTAATTCATTTATTTGATACAACTGATTACACTAGAAAATTTCCTTGATCAAGATCCGTTTAAGAATGGTTGAAAGATAATGGAAACAAACAAAGAGGTTTTAATCAAAGGATTGTGCATTTAGATGAACACATAATCATCAGATCTTTTGTTTTGTTCGAACTATCGGATTGTTCCTTTGGAATGCATTTTTTCTTTCTGTTTAAGTACAGACTAAGATATGTATTGTTCAATGTAGAAGAACAATGTACGGTTATGACAGATTTTTCATCAGTATTTTTTTATTTGTTTTATAGTTATTGTATTAGCTTAGAGCTTTTTCAAAGAACAGGCAAAATTTTAGACCATAATATGAATTACGTTATTTAAAGTTGCTATCATTAAAAGTCACAATCGACATTTCCAGTGTGAAAGTTTCCAAAGTTGTTCTATTACTAACTTTTGAGTTTCTTTTTTAAGGAGGGAAAACACTGAGTACTCGCTCTGAGTAAGGCGAGAAGGTTGACTTTTCCTGCCAAAAAAACATCTTTCACCTTTTTCTGTACCGAGCAGGGTCAAGGTGCATCGTTAGGCTTTACCCGCAACGAACAGAATTTTGTGTATTTCTACGATAAGAATTTTAACATAACGTCTGTCTTTCCTGTACGAAGGAATGCGCTCCTATATAACCACGCTACAAGAACGTATCTATCAGTTGAGATATGAGATCGATACACGTATCAAGAATAAAATTCGTATGTAAGAGTAATGCTTAAAATTCAATGGTCTCCGATCAGACCCGGGCGTACGAATCGTAGCGTTTCGCGCGTGCCTCAAATAGCCAACAGTCTACAACATATGTACTCACGAAGACTGATAGCCAGTCTAGCCTGGAGCAAAAGAGAGAGACTACTTTGCCAGCCAAAGGAGCCGGAGCCAGGCGGATTGTAGTCCTAGGGACAAAGTAACGTATTTTTTATTCCACATTGACTTATAATCTATCTTTATGCCTAATTTTATTCAAATGCGTTCAGTAGTTTTTACGTATAAAAGTAACAAATATCAGTCGTTACTCTCACTATATCATTTATGTTGTTTATAGGATCACGTACGAATACAAGAATGATTATATAGGTATAGTTATACGATAGCACACATACCTACCTACTTTGTCAAACAGTTTACTTTGTAATAATTTTACTTAAAACAAAGCCCGCATGCCTTTACTGATGAAGGCGATAAATTAATAATTGTTGTGTGTTTCGTAAAATTCCTCCTAAACCTGCGTACTTGATTATTAAGAACATGAAGATTGAAAATCCGCTATCTCATCATCCATGTGTATATGATGCTGCAGGAGGCCCAACACTCTCCGCTCATCCCCAAAAAGGTTATCTTCTAAAGGTCGGCAACGTACTTACAACATTCAACGTTGGCATTCATGGGCGGCGACGATTGCTTCCATACAATTGCGGTAATATTATTGTTATAGTCTCCTTTTAAAAATGGAATATTCATAAAAAAAATTAACAACTTTTACTGTCAAATTTATAACTTATTTTAACCAATACCAATAAAGTACCTACCCAACATATTTCATAGTTATTATAATCAACATATCAAATCCTCTATAAGACTTAAATAATAATATTAATAATGTTCCAATAATCTTGTCAGACACGAATCAATACGAAGCCAAAATCAATCCCAATCCTTTTGTTCGATCGAATAGACTGTCCTGCCAAATTTTGGATTATCCCACATCAAGGACCAAAACCATATCAATATTATTTAACGAATCTGGACTATTGTATTAATATGAACAAAGCAAAATGAAATCCTTGAGAAGACTAGATTTAGAAAATATGATTCGAAAATAATACTCGAGATTAAAATTAAAGGTCGCAACGAAGTTCAGCGCTTTTTTTAATAGTGCGTCTTACACCGATGTCACAATTGTAAGTATGTGGATCTGTATACTTAGGAATTGTTGAAATGCGTGATTTTCTTTTTGTTAAATTTTTTACTTGTTTTTATTTCTGATTTGACCACCCCATCATACCCTTTTACAAAATTAGGGGATTGCGAGTGTAAGTGCAAAGATATCCCGAGGCCCC